ATAATAAGTGTGTCTGTGCATGCAAGATAATCAAATAATGGGCACATGTTTGTGAGGTTCATCAAATATATTATGTATGATAGGCGCATAGAGTGCATGCAACATGACTATTTTACAAATAAGGAGTGCTTGAGGCATAGAGAATGTAAAGGGGTTGACAAGACATAGAAAATGGGAGATGTTCATGTATAATATAAAGTATAAAAATGATATACAAAGTTAGTTGGGATGCACATATTGAGGCCAAGTGCATGGGCAAGAAACTACTAGCAGTAGGCACATCTAGACTAACTTAGAGGGGTTAATACATTAGTGAGCCTCTATTAATGATAACAGACTCAGAACATATACAAATTAACAAGAGGAGACGCATTATATATCATTGAAACATATAGAGAAAAATGTTCTCAAATCTTTGTATATTATACTCATTTTAGAAGGAATGTTGCACATAATGAGGATAGGTATAGTGATGAAGAGTTGAGATGATTGGGGAGTTATAACTTAGAGCTTAGAGTAAAGGCAACCTAGGATAGTAAGTGTGTACAAAATGTAACAACATGCATGTCTTGGGAAACATGGTGATGAGTGTGATGCATTTTAATGGCGAGGAGGAATACATGTAAGAATATATAAGCATGCATGGTGAAGGGATAACAAACACTATTATTATTGGACAGTTTTAGTGCATGTTTGTGAGAGACAAGCACATTGTTATTAAAAAGTAGGCTTCAACACGTGTTTTATTACTTACAAAGAGCAAAGTAACGAGGAGCATCATTTGTTAATGTGTTATGCACATATGCGATGTGGGGATTCTTCATGCATAATTGTATCGAGAAGTGGAATCAGCTTATGTAGCATAAGCTACTAAGGGCGTGCGAGCTCTAAGTGGTGATATGCCAAGGAGACGAGCAAGAGGGAGGGAGTGCAAGCTTGGTCAAGATGTGTGTGAACAACTTATGTATGAAAGGAAGAGTTTAGGGGTGCATGGCACATCAATGAGAGAGGTCCTCAAAAAGAACTTTTATTTGGTCCGGTGAACGTACGCAACTCTACGTTCGGCCGCCAGTAGAATTGCGCCACGCGTTTTCATTATTTACCGCGCGCCCTGACAACTCGACCTGGAACGGATCCAAGATTGCTCGGTATTGCTCGATATTGCTATGTATGGGTCGATTTTGCTCGGTAATAACCAATACCGAGCAAATACCTAGCAATACCGAGCAAATACCGAGTTGTACCGAGTTTTTTCTAGCAATACCGAGCAAATCCCTAGCAATACCGAGCAAATCCCTAACAATCCCGAGCAAATACTGAATTGTACCGAGTTGTAAAAAAACTCGGTACAACTCGGTATTTGCATGGTATTGGTCTTCACAGAGCGGTATTTCTCATTTTTTCAAAGCAATACCTAGCAAATACCGAGCAATACCGAGAAAATCGCGAACATAGCATTCCCGGGTTCCACTCCGGGTCAAGTCGTTGGGTAAAGAGTAAGAGCACGTGCCGACATGTTATTGGCGGCCGAACGTAGCTCTACGTCTCAATTTGTCATATATTTATCTACAAGAGTCATTTGTCAAAGACTATTCCACACATCTCATTTTTATTTGATCAAGCTTAAAGTTAAGTAGTTAGATACCTCGTCAAAGAAGCAGCATTTCATAAAGATATTATTACTTACATATTTCTTTACAAGAGCCATTTGTGTAGGGGCTATTTGATTTGAACAATTTTGAGTGTAGAAGTAAATGAATACAATGATTTTCAAAATTTCGGTATTTAGTTGGATGAAAAATAAATCCAAAGTAATTTATTGAGATATTTGAATTCAACATTTAGTTTATTTTATCTATTCAAGAAACATCCAATTCAGGAGATTTTTCAATACACTGTATCACATTTGCCATCTATGCCAGCCACCCGCCACCATTGTAGGTGAGAATAAGTTTATTTCAGAAGAAATAACCAAATTTAATTTTGAATTGAAGTCAAAACTAAATAATATGGCATCTCTCTTAAACTTATTTTATGTATGTATACAAGAATCCTTTTACCCCCTCATCATCATGCTAAAGTTCTTTTACCACAATCTCACTAGGGTCTCTTTGACGATGTAGTTTAACTATTCATCTTCATACTACTTAACTAGCTATAACTATAACATCTACGGAATCCATGTACAGTTTTACATGTAAAAGATAACCCGCTAAATTTTATATGTATGGGAATATTTTATATGCATGTGAATGTCATAACGAAGATTGGAGATACTCGGCAATCAACCATGCTAAAGCTAAAGTCTTAGTTCAACTTATGAAGAAACTTTTAAATGAAAATAAGAGTGAATGACATGAGAAGTTAGTTGAAACTTTGTGATGGGATTTTATATAAAACATCAATTGACTTCAATCCATTTCTGTAGTTTTGGGGTTGAGATTGTCTTTTCAGTTATAAGTGAAGCTTGACTCATTATGCCTTGTCATTCAAAATCAAATTACTTAATTAGAGAATATGCAATTTAGGTGAAAGTTCTTGATGTCTGAAAAAGATGCATCTATAAGTTCAACATAACCTTGAGTTGTGTAGAGTTTGTATGGTACTAAACTATGAAAAATGGATATACCAGAGACTTGGTTCTAGCCCTACATAGATCTATCTTGGCCCATCAAAAATAATTAGGGATAAATTTGAGCTTATGTAGAAAGCACCTTTGTTGTAGAGTAAACATATCAAAGTATAATTAGCTCATTGATTTTAAAGGTGAATGACATATGTAACTTATAAATGGGTGTTAATAAAAATATTATACATAAATATTTTTCTCAAATCAAAATTTCAATAAATATTCAATTTGTAAACCCTTCATAAAAGTTTATATGTATTCTCAACATTCGTTTCCTCTTAATATTAAATGCGTAAATTGATATAAATTATCCTTCTCTCAATAGAAATATTCAAAGTTGATGTGAAATTGAATTCTATGACAAGTCTTTGATATATCTATTGGATGATAACTTTGGAGGATGTTCAACAACTCTTCTTTTGTCTATTGATAACTTTTGTAAAAGTAAAATTCTCATGAGGACTTTTTTAAGGTTACATGCAATGATCTTAGATTTTGCATTTATGAACACTTAAGTTCTTGAAGTTTCATTTCCTAGGTGCACTTCATGAATAGGATTAGGTCATCAAACCCAAATAAGTTTTTTTTTTTAAAAAAAAAATATTACAAAAAATCATTTATTCTAGTTAAAACTAGTAACCCTTGTGGGATTTCTAATTAAAGATTATTACATACTTAATTCTCTCCATATGTACGTGAATAGAACTCTATATCTAAGAACTTGTTGAGCTATAATTTTCGGTTGTTATGATTATATGAAATTCTCTAATGTTTCAAAATACAATTTCTTTCCTTTTGAATCTAAATTTCAAATCAAACTCATAAAAAGGGAAAAGTAAAAATAAATTAAGGCTTCATTTGGGACGAATTTTTTATTGCTTCTTAAAATAGAGTTTTAGTACAAATTTTTGTACTAAAACTCCGTTTTAAAAAAAAATAAAAAAGCTGTCACAAATGAAACCGAAATCTAATCAACCTTTGAGCTTCTCTAGCTTAGTTTTTTTTTTTAATATTGGGGCCAAATTATCAAATTAATCTTTCTTTATTATTATTATTATTATTATTATTATTATTATTATTATTATATCCATAACCTACCTTAAAAATCATAGGTTAGACTACAATCTTATAGACAACCATAAAATACATAAGTTGAATCTTGAAAGTCATTATTCATATTTTAGCCTATCTTGAAATTCATGAGTTAGAAAATCCTTAAACAACCTTAAAATCAAAAGTTATACCTTAAAACTCATAGTTTACTCAAATACTTTCTAGACATCCAAAAATTAGTCTTATTTAACCATAAAAGTAAGTTTGAGCGGAGAAATCATCAAACAACTTTGAAGTCGATATGCCTAAACTTGAAATTCATAGGTCACTCAAATCTTATAGTGAAATTTTTATACCTTCTTCAAATTGTATAAGTTGCCTTGAAGTACATTGGTTAACTCTAGATCAAATCAAGTAAATGTTTAAATCCATCCTTAGAAGTCGTCGTTAGATGATATCTTTAATGAACTCAACATTTGTACCTTCTAATAGTTTAATGGAAATCCCAAAACTTTTATCTCTTAAGCATTATTTTTGCTCCTCTTTTATATCTTATATTCTCAAAATATTCTTATTAGTAAGATTCACATCACTTCTTTATATATATGTTTTATAATGATAGAATTTAAATAAATATGTTCATAAAATTGAGAATATGATGACAATTATTTGGACAAAAATATTCCTATTTTTTATAAATAAAGTTGCACCCAGATATACTTGTAATTTGGACCAAAATAATATTTAAAAAAAATAAGTAATAGATGTATATTTTTAATTTATTTTATTATAAAATATTAAATTAAAATTTTTATTTAAGAGATAGCATGTTATATGTAAAATGGAATATTATAAATAGGAGCATGATGTATAATTTAAATTAAGAATAGAAGTAGAGTATTAAAAAAAAAATAAAAGAAGTAAACTAACCAAATAGAATGGTGCATCCCATTGAAGAATGGCGCGTCCCATTGAATGCATCAAATTGTTTAGCACATTACTACAATAATTTAAGACTTTAATTCGGCTGATTGCAGAGAATACTCCAAATAATTTGGCGCATTCTAAATGCGTCAAATGATTTGGTAATCATTTGCGCCAAATGATTTGGCTAATTTACTTCTTTTTAATTTTTTTTTTTTCATATTTTACTCATATTATTAATTTAAATTAACATCATGCTATTTATATAAAAAAAAAACGTTAAAATGAGGTATAAAAAAGGTTTGCAGTGACTTTTTTTTTTTTTTTTTCTAATTGCACAGATTATTCGCTAGCATTTCTAAAATGAGGCATAAAAAAAGGTTTGCAGTGACTTTTTTTTTTTTTCCTAATTGCACAGATGATTCGCTAGCATTTCCAACTCTAACTTTCCTTCACATGGGTACTGGCTTCTTGCCTTCGGCTTCCTCTCGCTTTTCCCTTCTACTTGACAGAATCCCTCAAAATTCTAGGTTTAGGATTTCCGCCGCCCTACGCTTCGATTTTTCGAACACAAGTTTCCTCCTTTCTGAGTTTCGACGGAGCCGCCTCCATCTTTGCACCAGTCAAGCCGCTCACTTCTCTCGCCTGGACGATGGAGGAAACGGCGTTCTTCCTGCTATTTCCACAGCAAGTAAACCCCTTATAACTTCTAAAATTTGTAAATTTCTTTGTTTTTTGACCCTGTACTCGAATGCTCTGATTATTGTTTTCTGTTAGTTCTGGCTGTCTTTTGCTCTGTTTAGGATTATTTCCCTGTTCGTTACTTTGATTTAATTCTGTCTAAATTCAGTGCCACATGAAGGTCGGATTGGAGAAGTTAAGAGAGTCACAAAGGAAACAAATGTCCATGTAAAGCTGAACTTGGATGGCTCTGGAATTGCTGACTGCAGCACAGGGATACCATTCTTGGACCATATGCTTGATGTGAGTAATCGTTGACTGCTTTTTTCTGATATATTATGTTGATAGAATTCTTTTTGGTAAATAGCATTTCTGAGCAAAAGGGTTGGGGCACCACTGCCCTTCATTTCACTCAGTGAAACGCATGGTACAAACATATAGGCTTGCCTTCTCGGTTAAAGCTTTATTCTGATTAATCATTTTTTAGTATTAAAAACTGGTTTCTCTATGTGTTTCAAGTAATAAATAACGAGAAAACCTGATATACTAACATGTAAAGCAACGATCAGCATTAACCCAGAAGAAATATAAGTATCTACAAGTGAAACATTGTTGTGCTATTTCAGTTGGATCAGCTGTAAATGTAATTTTTTTATTTTTATACAACCATGACACTTGACCCCAATGACCCACCGCAACTGCCACTTCCTCTCTAACTTTGCCTATCCATCTTCCTAAGCACCTTTGCACCAAGCCTAGAACCGTTATTACTTAAGTGCCTCGACAATGATGTAGATTGTGATATAGGTTAGCTGCATAACAAGCTCACAAATCTTTTGACCACAAAGCCAATCACTATTTGCAGGTTCACCTTCCTACTGAATTTGTGGTATCGCTTCAAAACATCGATGTTGCTACTAGCGAATTCCTCAGAGGATTGGCAGTAGTGTATATATATGACATCCTTAATTTGTGAAGTAGAGTGGATCATGATTCGAGAGATGGAGGGCATAGTGAGGTTCTTGCTTTTTTGTAGCTGATCAATGTAATTGGGGCATTATTTCGTGATTGATTGACAAACATGAAGCCACATGTGGCATGTTGAGGAAACTTAAATGTGACCAATTTGTCCATATTTTTGTGGCAGATCAAGTACTTCAACATTATACTTTTTTTTTTTTTTGCTTCAAACATAACATCAAAAAGATAAACTAAACACAAAAAAGAATGTTCTACACTCATTTTACTAGTAACCTAATAACTCCTTAATGCATTTCCTTTTTACACGCCTTAGCATAATTTTGAAGCAAAATGCTTCGAGGCGCATGCCTAAAGCTTGTGTTTTAAGGGCATACACCTCGATTTGGCTGAGGCATATGCCTTATAATATGATTTTTTTATCAGAAAATTTAATAACAAAAAGTTTTCTTTTTTTTTTAATCTTTTTTAAACCCCAAAATTTATTTATCCATTTTATTTACTTTTTTCTTTCAAATTTTTTGATTGAATTGAAATCCTAATGTATCTTTATTTAAATTTTTTTAGTTCTCAACAGAGCCCTGCATTGGGTACCCATACCCACACCCACCCACGTACCCACCCATACCCAATGGGCATGGGTGGGTATGGGTACGCTCATAGCCTCGTGGGTGAGTATGGGTGGGTACTCAACATCAGAGGAGAACCAATTTATATTACTAATCATCATATACATGCATTATATTATAATAATCCTTACTACACAGTGCGCAACACTGAATCGCATCACGACCATGATAAATTTTGATATGTGGCTTGAAAGTTTGCACTCAGAGAAAATGGCAAAGAATCTCAATGCCATTATTCTATGGCAGACTGCATTCAATAAGCTTGGAAAGTGGGTGGGTGTGGGTGGGTATGACATCCGGAAAGTCATCATAGGTGGGTGTGGGTGGGCAAAGCCTGCCAGCGCAGAGTGTGGGTATCCAATGGGTACCTAACTAGGACCCCATGTAGGGCTCTGGTTCTCAACTTGTTATTGTAGGATTTTGTAGAGAATAATTAGAAGCACAGATAAAATCACCCATAGGAAAGGACCCGACGTGAAAAAATAATTGTTAAGCTGATATGGGAGGCGGTGGTAAGACGTATATTTACTTGAAATGCAATTATTATGAGAAAGTGGTGAATGGTGGTGTAATTAGTATGAAAGAGCACCTATTCGGAACCCATAAAAATGTGACACCAAGCGCTTAATCGCCTGTTATGGTGGAGGAGATCAAAGCATGTATGAATAAGTTAATAGTGTAAAAACATCCGGCACAACAATAGTTTGATGACAGAGTTGGTGGTGGCTCATACTATAGAAGCAAGCATAGTGGTCGGGACTCATCATCTTCATTGTAACTGATATCCTGTAGTAGTATAAGGGGTCCCATAGATCACTACATGATAGACACAGTAAGGATTGACAGGGAGATAGACCCTTTACATCTTAGATACATGAAGATTTTTTTATGAGAATGATATGTCTGTTAATTTTGCAACCTCCTCTGCTTAATATAAAATGATTCTAGTTTGAGCTTATGGGCGAGGATTAAAACCTTTGTTCATTGATGGTTTGAGGACATGATTTTGAAGGAGCTTGTTAACAGTGAGAAAGACATTTAGAAAATCAGGAGGAACTGGAGCTAGATAGGGGTAATTATCATGTCAGATGAATGATTATATTTAAATAATATAGGCTTGATAAATGTATTGATCAATAACTCTTATAGCACAATTTTTTTTAAGTCCATTGAAACATCTAATAAGGTAAAAGATGATGCGTTTCTTTTTGAGCTCCTTGATAGTGTTGATGATGAGATTGAGGAGCACTTAGTGGTTCAAGTGGTGGCATATAATGCTAGTGCTTATATGTTGCAGGTACAAAACTTATAGATAACAGGTATCACTTATATTGGATTCCTTGTGCTACATTGCATAGACCTGTTCCTTAAAAAGCTTGAGAAGTTGCGACAATATAAGAATGTACTGACTTAAAAGAAAAAAAAAATATTAGTAAATTTGGATTTTGACACTAGTGAGAAAATTTTCAAAGAAAAAATTATTGATGCTTACAGTAACAAGATTTACCACTATCTATTTGAATTTGTAAAGCATGTTGGAGGTAAGGTAGTCTTTTGAGGTTATATCACTTTGATAGGAAATACTTGATTCCAAGTATTTCCTAATCACTTTAGCCAAAGATTTCACAGCGAACTGCTGTCCACAGCAGGAAATCAGCCAAAACAGTGGGAAAACGCGAGAAAAACGATAGAAACACGAAGTAAGAAATTGTATTTTACTAGAAGATGAAAGGAAAATAGCAAAGATACAAGGATCCTCTATTCGAGAGGAGGATCGCACTCTCCCAATCTCTAGAATTCAATCTAGAGCCCTAGCCACCAAAGAAGAACGAGAAACTTTCACAAAATATCTCATAACCCTAATCCCCCCTTTTCTCCCCTACTTAATGCATTCAATTCAAATCTAAAACAAAAGGACCTAATTACCCTTGCTTCCCCTCCTTTTGGCTCCAAGAAACAATTCAAACTTCAAGTGGACCCCACCCCTCTCCCTTCTTCTTGTGTCCGCCGGCCCTCCTGGCATAGACGAACAAAGCCGGCCCAAGGGGCTGGGCCGGCTGGACCGGTCCTCCTTGGACCGGTCTAACACACTTCAACATAGTGGTTGAGTTATGCTTGGACAAGAAAGCCTAAGGGAAAAGAAGTTAGGAAGTTTATTTTAAATGATAGATTCTGGTAAAGTGTAGTTTATACGATTATAACAATTAGATCACTAGTGCAAGTTTTGAGGATGTTAGATGTTGAGAGCAAGCCTGTAATAAGTTTCATATATAATGCTATGTATGAAACAAAGGAGCTGATTACCATTAACATAGGAGCAGAGGACAACTATAGGAAAATTGAGAATATTATTGACAAAAAGTGAGAGTTATAGCTTCATCGTCACTTACATGTAGCATGCTTTTCTGAATTCTCAGTTTTAATATGCAAAAAATAATATAGATTATTTGGTTATCATGCAAAAAAAATCACTTATAACCTTTATTTTTTATTTTACATAAATTTTTTATTTTATTTTGAGGATTATGTCTCGCCTCATGAACAAAAAATGCATCAATACCCAATTGTGCAAATTTAAACCTTGGTTACTAGCTTGTTTATGCCTAGTGTAATTGAAGGTTGCAAATTTTATCCACAGGAATGCCAAAACCTTTTGCTACATAGAGCTACCAAGTTGATACACTATGATACATGTCTCCACATGCTTTTGTTTTATAATAACATATTTATCTTTATATTTGCATAAATGGGTGTCATGTTTCACTGTAGCAAATATTTGATCATCGATCTGTTAGACCGGTCCAATGGAGTCGAGCCGGTCCAAACAGGACCAACAGTTTGCAAAGAGCGCAGGATCTCCGCCTCCCGCGGAGATCGAGTGGCCCGACCGCCCCATTAGAGTATTTTAGGAAGCGTTTTTGAGGGTTTTGAGAGGGTAATTTGAATGTAGGGACTGTTTAGGGATTTCCTTTTGATTTGTATGCATTAAATAGTTGATTTTCCTACGGTTTGATCATCTTGAATTTGCCTGAAATTTGAGATCTCTTAGATTTAGGTTTTCTTTGGGCTCTTGGCGTTGCCAGAGATTTGGGAGAGTTCGATCCTCCTCTCAAATTGAGGATCAATTGTATCTTGCTATTTTATTCATCGTCTAGTGGAATAAAAGTTGTACTTTGAGTTTTCCTTCAGTTTTCCTCTAAATTTCTGCTGTTTGACTGCTGTACACAGCAGTTTGCTGTGTTTTTCCTGCTGTGGACAGCCATTTGGCTGCTGTTTGTTCACCGATTTGGGTTAGGTTTGCTTGCAAACTCAAGTATTACCTTAGGGTTACTTGCGAACTCAAGTATTTCCTATCACGATCTTCTTAGAGCAATGCTGAATTCTTATGTTTCACCATCCTTTAGTTTATAAGCGTCACAATTTTGTCTAGGTAATTGATTGGGATTTTCAATCTTTTTATGTGCTAGACGAAAGATGGTAAATTGGCCCTATTTCATGAATCCTTTTCTTATTAATTATGTTGTCAATTCCACAAAAAAATTGCCAAAATTTTCTTTGTAGTTTCATTAAATTTAACATTTAAAAATGCCAATAAAATATTCTTATTTAATTTTTTTTAATTTGTTTTTTCCGCTCCTATAAAATATGCTAACATTCATTCACATTTATTTTCTCTTTAAGCATTCACTTATACAAAATATTTTCAAAGCCTTCGTAACAATATTAGACAATAATTAGAAGTGATTAATGTAAAATTTTCTGTGAATATTTCAGCAATTAGCTTCACATGGAGTGTTAGATATCTTCGTGAGGGCTTCTGGTGACATCCATATTGATGACCATCACACGAATGAAGACATTGCTCTTGCACTTGGAACGGTGGATAAGACTTGTTTATCTTCCCTAATTTCTTTCCTTGACTATGTTCAGTTTACATTAATTATTAATAGTTAATTTTTTATCAAGCTTGTATGGATTATTCTTTCTTCTATGGTTAATTGTTTTTTGCACTTACAGGCCCTTCTTCAGGCACTTGGTGATAGAAAGGGTATCAATCGATTTGGACATTTTGCAGCCCCTCTTGATGAAGCTGCTGTGGAGGTCATATTGGTACGGTTATGAAATTTTAGTGTAACATATATTAGTCTTTTTTGTATGTGGTTTGGCCTTCAAAATGTCACATTCACTTTGAAAAACAAAGCCATTTAACTTCTTACAGTTATGCAAAATTTATTTCTATTGCAAAGCCCAAAATATACTTCTTAACCTAAACACGAAGCTATGGGTCGTTTGGGGTCATCTTTATTTTTAATTTTTAACTTAATTTTATTTTGTCTATATTTTGATTTAAAATATAATATATTTGATATCTTAAGAATATGTTTTTTTTTAATATTAAATAAATTGATTTATGGGATCACCTGTAGCGGCTCAGTGATAATTGGTGATATCAACGGTTGATTTATGCGATCACCTGTAGCGGCTTGGTCATAGTCGATGATGTCAACGGTGATCGTGGCAATTATAGTTGTCTTTAAAGCATTCAAAACACCTAAATTTTATTTTTAGTGTTTTATAAAATAAGTTTATTTATTTTCAAATACAAAATATAAAACTACAAAAAAAAACCCCTAAACAAATATATTTTTAAATTAAAAGCAAAAATAAAAACAAAAAACAAAAATGATCTTAACAAGCCCTAAATGAGGGGTCTTGCACCCCATTTATCCCATGATTTTTCATTGACTTAATGCAAACTACAATATGTTTGTATTTTTTCTATTTTCATTTGACTTTATGCAAACTACAATTTTTTGTTACTATTTTCGATGCCTTTCTTAAAGCAGACCCCAAATAGTTTATATTATAGACTAATGATAATGATGACTGTGGTTCAATTATGCTCCAACTTAGCCCAACTAAGCATTTCAGATTCTCTATATACTAGTTGCATTCTTTCTGGAGATTGGTGCATGCCTTCCTTTGAAACTTTCCAAAATCAAAGTGCCAAGTCGAACTCCCCTTGATAGATTTTTTTTTTTCATTTGCCTTTCTTCCCTGGCTTAGATGGTTTGGTCACATAAAACGACGGCCTTTCGATGACCCGGTTAGGAGAGTAGAGGTATTAGATTTGACTTATGTTAAGAAAGGTAGGGGTAGACCTAAAAAGACTTGGTTAGAAAATATTAGGAATGACCTTTCTTTATTAGGTTTAAATGAGAGTTTGACTTTTAATAGAACACAATGGAGAAAAAGGATTCATGTAGCCGACCCCACGTAGTGGGATAAAGGCTTGATGTTGTTGTTGTTGTTGTTGTTGCCTTTCTTCCCTGGCTCCTTTCGTCTCCCTCTTCATCCATAAATCTTAAATTTCTCTAAATTCTGATGGCCTGTTTGCATCGTTGAGGAGCTTTGTGTTATCGCAATCAGTTCGTTTATATGGCATGTTTGTAACTTTTTTACAATACTCGGATGCCATGCTTCAGTGGTATATTATGGAGAGGTGATGAACCCTTCTCAGAGTAAAAGCTGATTTCCTCATTACTTTTTGTTAGCTGTGATGTTTTGTTTTGTAATCCTCTGTGAACTTATCACTCGTTGCTAGTCACTTTTCTGACAATGGTGTTTTTGTATTGATAACGGTAACAAAAGACTAGAAATGTATTATTGAAACGCCTTGAATAAATGAATAATTTTCATCAAGTATTGGACCCTATTCTTATTAGCATTTATTCATATTTCATTACTTTGCTAATTCTTCATGCCATATTTTACTTGAAATTTGAAATATTTTGGTATAAAAAATCTTGTTATTACTTCAGGATTTATCAGGTCGCCCACATTTGAGTTGTGATTTGCAAATCCCGACAGAGCGAGTTGGGACATATGATACACAGGTTGTAGAGCACCATCGCTGCTATTTAAATTCTTTATTATTACTTTCCTTTGAAATACAAACTAAGCGATTTTTTGTTTAATTTGGCATTTGCATTACCTTTATGTTATAACAGGTGAACACATGAACAGTCATGTAATTATTTTGAGGATTTTTACTAAGATACCGCTTAAACCTGGCATATTTACTTGTACTATAAACAATTTTTCAGTAATACTATTATATCATTAAAATTTTCTCATCTTATTTGATTGACCAATCATAACCTTTTTTCCACCCATCTTCTAACCATGTCTTATGAATAATCCTTATTAGCTCAATTTCCACATCACACCCTATATTGCCACCATTACCACCTCAAGCCTCTTGCTACTATTTTTTACCTACCAACCTTCTCACCGCTACAACTTTTTGTTGTAGTTGGCCATGTGCGCTCATGTCCATTTCTAACCACAATCAAACTTCAAGAAATTTCAGAGTCTCAGCCATTGTGACATATTTGGACGGGTTAGAATACCAAGGTGATATGCCTTTAATATTTAATATTTGCATGTGGTAGAGTTCATTAAGGCTTTGTTTGTTACAACTATTGCTACTTGAAAAAGTTTGATGGAAAGTTGATGCTGGAAAAACTATGGTGAAATTTTGTTGCTGTAATTTGTTGATTTCAATTTTCAAGATTTATGGTTGAGTTGCTGTTTCTGATTCAGAAGCTGGTTTTGCCTATTTGATTGCAGCATTTTATATGTGCTGTAGAAAAAACTAAGAAGACCACAATGAACTTACAAATCAAGAAAATTACAATTTTATTTAAAAAATAAATAATATTTTTTAATAGATGATTTAAAATTAAACTATTTCATTCTCTTATTATTAAAAAACATTCATTTATATCATAAAGATTTTGGAAAAACAAAAATGAAATAAAAAACAAGGTAAATCATCTTATAGAACTTGTTGCAAATCACCATGCCATGAATTTTCATTCTTTGCTTTGGATATCCTGTCTTGGAGCAAGCTTTCAAACCGAGCACCAAACTGTAGAATCTGGAGCCTAAATGTATGTTCTTTGTCCCACATAAGACATTAATGTAAGTGCTTCTCTGTGATTGCAGAGTACAAAACCACAAATAACAGGCATTCAAAGCCATAGAATTGAGATCAAAACCCCCTAAAGGTATTATTTTAGAGGCATTTTCCCACCTTCCCTAGGTTGTACATCCCACAACCACGGACTTTGAATTGACTAAATCTACCTTCGATTCAATGGTCCACAAATCACAATTAGCTCACATAGCCAATAAAGCATTGTAATTTGTAAATAAATAAATTGCACTCCAAACTGCTAGGATTTATATGGTGGTGACTTTCTTGCCACAACCCAAGCTTTCTAAAGGGAGGAATTACTAGAATCATATTGTCTGATGCCCCTCTCTAGCATCATTGTGTAGGTAAAAATTGCATCTTGATAGTATCTTTTTCCAGAGGTATAAGGACATCATTATATTCCAAGGGAAGGTGAGGGTTGCAATCGAGTCTTTGATGATATGTCGGCATAATCAAGGCCACACATAATGTAGAATGCTGGTAGGAGACGATGTATGGGTTTGCAAGGAGGATGTTGATGAAGTGGGCATAGGTACGAAATGTATGCCATCGATTAGGTGTTCCAAAACTTTATTTAGATGATATCATTATCATCATAGAATTAGATGTAAAGGGCAGTGAGGTGAGCGATTGGGGTCATCAACAACATTTTTGAAGAATATTTTTTTCTTGAAGGTGATGGTTTATAGGTTTTACCCTAAAAATCCAATCGGTAGGCTTATCTCAAATTTCTATGGTGGAACATAAGATACAATCTACATTTATAAATGGCTGTCTAATCCTTATTTTTTTTAATTTCATGCCATAGAAATCAAACAAAGATTAAACATAAAAATTGCCTTTTTAAATGAAGTGCTTCATTGTAGTCACATGGATGTGTGGTAGTCAACTTGAGAAGCAATTGGTGGAGGTGTTGATGTCGAAAACATATACAACTTGATTAGCAATGCTACTTGAGCCCTCTCATTCACAACTATATATCATTATCACCATCGATTGGGACATCATCCTCCCGATAGACTTTGAGATTATATTTATCTCCTCTCGCTCTCCAGTTTTGAGAGCTATGCTCACAAATAAGGTAAGCACCTTTGTGTCTTTTCCTTATTCCATTAGTCATCTAGATTTTTCTTGTGATATTTTCCAATAAAACATTTGAGGCCTTGGCCTAGTTCCGACTTTGGATTTCGAAATTTTGGCATATTGATCAATGATTATTCTAGATTTAGTTGGATCTACTTAAGTATTGCTAAAAAATTCTACATGTATTTCTATCCTTTTATCAAGAAATAAAAATCTAATTCTTTATATTAATTAAAACTTTAAGTTCTGGCAATGCCCTAGAATTTAAAAAAATCTCAATTTTAATCTTTATGTTCTAATGATGATACTATTAATCAAACATATTGCTCGTATATATCTTAATGGAATGGTGCAGATAAATGAAAAAATTGTCATTTGCTAGATATTGCTCAAACTTTATGTTTATTATAATGTTCTTAGATAATTTTTGAGATGTAGTCTTGATTATATGGTATCTCATCCATCAGATTCCATTATCTTAATTAGATAGCTTTTCACCCTTCTTTTTGTTGAATTAATCATGAATGACCTTTGTTTTCTCTAACGCCACATATATTTGATTTATATTTTTTATTATGTTGAGAAAGTCTATCCTTGTGCCATTCAATGTATGTTCCTCAAATGTTCTTACATATGATCATCTTGTTCAACATTTATATACTTTGATCAATGTTACTTTTCACCCCACTTTTTTTCTCTCCTTTCTCAGAGTTATCTTCGCCTTTTGAAATGCCTCTTCCTATGTCTACCCCACTACATGTTTATATGTTTGATGATATTAAACTCCACCAATAACAGGGCCTACATGCAATCCCATATATATATATATATATATATATATATATATATATATATATGGAGTTTGAGCACTTGAATGCTCGCCACCTGCACGAGGGAATCGAGCCCTACCAGTGTAACACGACATCTCACAACACTATCATATTTGGCTGAGCATTCAGTTACTGATGAATTCTTTGATCAACACTTATCCTTCGTCTTAAGAAATGGTTAAATACATCATACTGGTCATCCTAATCACTCTTATATTACATTTAATCATCTACCTCTTTTTTCATATTTTTTTCTTGTTTCTATTCTTTGCATGTATTCTCAGGACATATCAGAAAGCTATAAAATCCACTCTAGAAAGAGGCGATAGATGATGAGATGGGTGCTCTATTCAATTGACATATATTAAATTTGATTACTCCCTTCTAGGATTAAACCAAATGCTTTTTGATGGCTCTTATTTTACTTGGACAATCTTTTGATTCAATGCTTAGTTGGTTGCTAAAAGATTCACTCAAACATATAAGATGGACTATTTTGATACATTCTCTCTATTTTTAAATTCTAATTTTGTCATAATTCTCCTATATGGTTGGATTTTGTTGCAAATAGATGTGAGTAATGCCTTTCTATATGATGATCTTAAGGAGGCCGTTTATATGGAACAACTTCCTAGGTATGTTACTTAGAAGGTGAAATGCATATTTTTACTCACGAAGATTATAGATGGCTTAAAACAATATCCACAAGCCTAATTTGACAAATTTTGCAAGGACCTTTTTGAAAATTGTCTTCGGAGAAAATGACATCTCCGAGGTAAAATATTACCTACAAAAATATTTTATCACTAAAGATTTGAGACAGCATAAATATTTTCTTGATGTTTAATTTGTTTACAATAAAATAGGATATTATTGTCTCAAAGAAAGTACGCTACTTATCATCTTAAAGAAATTGATCTAGTTAGTTGCAAACGGATTGATAACTCTATGAACATTTAGATCACATTTGATAATGAAGAGCTATTGGATGACTGGTCTCAGTATCGAAGGTTAGTTATATCATCTCATTAGTGGGCAAGTTAATTTATTTGACCATTACCTGTTATATCATCTCAGTCACTTCTGTAGTTGTTAGCTAGCACATGCAAAATTCAAAACAGTCGCATTATGAAGCTTCCGTTTGAATTGTCAGATAAATAAAAAAGTTTCCTTTTGAATATTGAAGCATTTTCTAATGTTGTCATTGCTAGATCTGTTGAAGTTAGGAGATCTACTTCAAGATATTATATTTTTATTGGAAGTAATTTGATCACTTGCCTGCCATTCTGTACCTTAATAAATATAGAAATGCATGTACAAATAAATATAGAAACTTGAGAACATATGGAGACATGCAAACAGGGAAAACAATAGAAACATATCTAATACTCATAGAAACATATCTAATACTCATTAAAGGAATAGATTCAAACTTCACAGTGGCGCATGTTAGTCATGTAACTTAACTGGCTACATAAAAAGAGATTGGCTTCTAGATAAGGTGGGCAAAGATGAAATTAGATGATAGAATCTATGAATGCTACAAGTAAAGATCTATGATGCATGAGATTGCAAAAAATTCTTCTTACCAATGATGAACTATAGAGTGCTGTGTTAGTTAAATTCAAGAATCCTTGGTCGATATTGAAGCTTTATATTTTAAGACATTTCTTGTTTGAAGATAAATTGTATTCTAATTAGGCAGCTAGATAAATTTAACTCTTTACTGTCATAAAAAAAAGGTATCTAGATGCAGAAGGTTGTATCTACCTATTGTATTGCTTTTTTAAGGTGACCAATGGTGTCGTGGTAATAGCACATAGAAGCAAGGTGGTTCTATGCTAATGATTTCAAATACCACGAGAGTGGGAACCATTGTGAAATTTATTGTTGGTGATTCTTGGTATGCAGTGATGGATAAATTTTTTGCTAAGTGGGAGCTTCCAAAGAATAGGAGGTTATTGCAAGGTAAACAATATTTTAGAATTATGGTGCAACAGGATGACAAAGTAAGTATTGTGATGAAGGACTGACATGCTTGAAGCTTTAGTTAACCCTCAAAATTGAGTGCAGTTGATGATTCTCTCAAAATTGGACATAAAGAGTTACTATCGCATTTATAAGATTATAAAGTTGACGGGGAGAATAATTTCTTCATTAAGTGCTTAATTCTCTCCTACTTTTTCTCCTTTGTTTGTAATCAAATCTAGAACCCTTAGATTTAATCATATTGTATATTCTTTCTACATTTACTTTGCCTCTAATATACTTGTTTCCCAATTTAAACTCATCCTAACACTTGTAATACTTTATAAAAGAAGTGTATCTCAAGGCTTAAAGAGACGACCTCCAAAAGCTCTCTTGAATACTGTTAGGAGGATTCAACTGGCTTCTTTGTTTATCAGGTGTTGATTATGAATCAAAGTTGTCAACCGTGAAGGCTTGGTTGCCAGTGAGGAGGTACAAAGAGGTTGACGACGTGAGGGGCCTATGGATGAGTTTGCTGTAGCAGCAATTAACTTTTTAAGTGAGATCGCATTACTTGGAGTGCTTGAGCTAGGCGAGTTAACAACAATAAACATGTGGTGTGCTGAGGAGAAAGTGGATGACTGGTGGCTGTTAGAGGTCAAGAACGACAAAGCTTGGTGATAAGGTTTTCATCTGTAGTCCTTTACCGACAAAAGCATTGTGACGACAAAAGGTTATTGATAGTGAGATACATTGAGAGCGGTGCCAATTTTCGAAAAGGAAGCCGTAGAAAGCACAACTCATTGCAAGCGGCAATCTCAACCAATCAGGTATGGGATTGTAGTCATCTGTGTTGCGGCGACGAATGAGGAAATTGTAGCCAGGTGTTGCACTTGGGTGGGCAGGAGGTGGTAAAGAGCTATGATTGTTATGTAGCAAATTTTCTTTATAGAGATGAATAAAAGCTTGGCTGTAAAGCTTTTGAAAATAAGAAGAGATGAATAGAATGAATAAATGGCGTTATTTATAGTATATATTATATATTTGGGTTAATTATATTTATTTCTTTTATAGATAGTTAATATTATATATACCTTTTCTGTATTTTCTGGAGTGATACTTGTCCCTCTTGCTATTAAATATCACATTCCCAATCCATTAGCTTGGAACTTTAGAAATGGGATGTTAATTTTCGAAAACTAATAGAATCTAGTGTAACATTAGCTACTTGCATGAGAGATAAGTATAATTAATCATATGTATTATATGTTTATTTCTCACTCTTTATTGGTGTGGAGAATTAGGTTGCTTGGAACGTGCTTTGAATTCTTTATTTGGGTTTAGCAAAGGAAAAGAGAGACAAGGGAAGGGTGAATTGTAAGAGAAGAGTGAGAAAGAAATATTATCTAGTGAGATGAAGCAAGAAATATTTAGTTATATCTGAGCTAGTGGAATTCTCTCCCTATGTGGTGTTGACGTAGGTGAACCTCATCAGATCATCTAATTCAATCATGTCCTATTTCTTCTAGTTTGTTTTCTTGTAGGCTTCATTCATTCCCCTAAATCTCATCATGTCATTTCTCTCGGGTTCAAATCCTTTCCCCACCATTTATCCCTTACAAATTTGTCATAGCACTGTTATTTGTGGAATGATTCAAATGAAGGGTCAGCATTGATAAGATATGCTGCTGAATTTATGTTCTTTGGCAGTTGGGTGTATTTTTACTGACAACTGATGTTGATGTGAGCTAAAAAGACTAAGACTTCGTTTGGGACGACTTTTTTATTGCTTCTTGAAGCAGTTTTTTAGTATAAAAATTAAAATTTTTGTACTAAAAAACTGTTTCAAGAAACAGTAAGAAAGTCATCACAAACAAAGCCTAAATGATTGATGCCAAAGTGACTTCGGTTGCATATGTAATTACCAATAAATCTCGACATTTTTATCACTTAAAAAACTGTCATTGTTAATCTCTAATGTAAAATGGGTTCTATATTAATGCCTTCTTGCTGTTGTTGTTTTAATGTCTATGTAATCGATGACATATTTCTCCCTGGAGAAGTTAGTTTGTATTGATATGTTTATTTGCGTTGGATTTATTATATAGTGTTGTGTTAAATTATTGATTTCTGTTTTTTTTTTTTTTTTGCATTGTTTTATTTCTTGTGAATTTGTAAACGTGAGCCTCTCTAATAAATATTCAATAATTTTTATACATTTTAGCTTGTGGAACATTTCTTTCAATCCCTGGTGAACACTTCTGGCATGACCCTTCATATCCAGCAGGTAACGGCAGTAATTCTTTCCTAAACTTGATTATGATCACCTAACAATCAAATACTTTTTTAACTTTCGTTTTACATTTCCTTATCATATAAACCCATCATTGAGAATACGGCTTTTATTTTGGATAAAGCATAGTTGGTCTTCTCTAACTGTTTGAGCTAAATAAAATTTGAGAGTCCTGGTAATCTTTCTTTCACTACTAAAATTTACATTTATTCATTATTTATTATAAATTCCTATGCTTTATAGTTAAATATTGACATTAATGAATTTCTTTTATTGTAGAATTTTTATGGTTTACTCTTGTTTCTTGATCTATTTCTTATTAAATATTTAGTGTTTGTTGGTATTTGAACAGCGTTCTGGGAAGAACTCACACCATATCATTGAGGCAACATTCAAGGCCTTTGCAAGAGCTCTTCGACAGGCAATAGAGCACGACATCCGTAGAAGTGGTACTGTGCCTAGGTTTGTTCTGAACCCTAATTCAGATCTTTTTTTTGGTATTTCTGCTTAGTTTCAACCTGCTGATCTTAAAGGTTTCAACTGTATTTTGCATTTTTTAACGAAAATTCTAATTATGTGATATTTGGTCTTTTTATTCTTTTTTTTAGTTCCTCTAAATTAATTTCTTCTTCTCATCTAATCGGTGAATCTTCTTTCTTTTTTAATACTCACCCAAACCACTTGATGATTTCATCTTCCATTATGTTAATTTCGATATGTGCTACTGCTACCATCTTTCATATATAATCATATATGAATCTATTCATTTTATTTGTCAAACATTGCAGTCTTGTTGTATGGAAGATATTTACACACCAAAATATGATTTGATCTTTCTATTCTTCCGATAATTGGTAGTAATAATTATCAATTTCACACTGAGTAAAATTATATATTATATATTTGACCTTTATTTAACTAATTTCGAGTCCTTTCTCCATTTTTTCGGTTTTTTTTTTCCCACATAGTCTCATACATTAGGACCTCGTTATCCATAAATTGCACCCAAGTTATCTCACATTGAATTCCTTTATAGGCATCTCATAATTGTCTAAAAAATACAAACTTAATCCTTGATGTAATGTTACAATTATTACTAACTCTTCATCTTTACATGGTTTCTTCTAATGCTATTCAATGGTCCATCATCTTTATTAACATCAACATTTCTTGAAGTATTTTTTTCCCTTAGTGGTTGTGATGGGGACATCAGATCGTCATGGAGAGTTTATCAGAGACGTGGCCGCCGATCTACGGCCACGATCGAGTCTTTATATTTTTGAGTCGTTGATGTATTTCATTTTCATGTAGTTTGTTATTTGCTTATGTGGCATTTATGAGTCGTTCAGGTTGTTTGGTTAGCTGAAAAAAGAATGTAGTGTAAAAGTAATGCAGTGTATTTGAAATAGTTTGAGCTTGTTTGGATTAGTGTAAAATAAATGCGGGGAATTATTTTTTTGATTGACTTGAAGTAAAATAAATATAGTGTAAAGTCCAAAGTATGGGTGGCCAGTGGTGGTGGTAGTCGATGCCATTGGTGGTCGGCATCGTCGGGGACAACCGATGGTGGGCGACCAGCAGCGGGAATGGTCGGGTGCGGTGGCGCCGACTGGCTGTTGGGATGGCCGGTGGTGGTGGCAGTCGGGGTTGGCCACCGATGGTGGTGGAAGCTGGCGGTGGTGGCGGTGGGCGAGCGACAACAGGCAATGAACTTCCACTATATTTGAAAATTGCCCAAATTGGAGGAATCCAAATACACCAAAAGTGAACTAAATGGTGAATTCCAAATATGCTAAAATTTTACACTTCATCTGATTTACTTCAAACCAAACACCAATATTCTCCAAATTCCTATATTTGCAATATTTTTACTTCAAATCAAACAACCTTGTAATGTCCACCAAATCATTTATTATGCACTCACGCATGTCTTCTCGAGATCGATAAAAATCATTTGATTTGATTTTTTTGCTTCATGCTTTTTCAAAATTATTTTTTTTTCAATGTATATACTATGTTATATCCTCTCCTATGATTTTATCTTATACCAAATAATTGCTACATTCATGTTCATTTCTAGAAAATTCATAAATATCGATGATTTATGAAAATGGGTGAGGGATTGAAATCGGGAACTCTGTTTGAAGTCCTCAAATAATTTTTTAAAAATACATATGTTTTTTTTTTCTTTTTTTCTTTTTTTTTTTTCTTATTTTCTAATTTGTGCCCATGAAGATCTGGTTTTACATTGATGCTATGCTTTGGATATACCCTTTACTCTTGTATTTTGTTTGCTTTTACTACAGCTCTAAAGGAATCCTATCTCGTTCATAAAGCCTGGAATCTAGCATTATAGAAGTTGCAGGTAAAAACCTCTTCAACAGATTAAGCTTAGTTTAAAGCTTGGCTCGAAAAGTTTGCTCAATACTTAAGATTTTGTCAAGCATCTTCGAAGCTTAGTTTATTGGGCAGCCTGATCGTCATCTTCCTCATCATCGGCTTTATCTTCAGCTACTTGGAATTACTTAATATCCATACAATCTAAAGTTATATATGATAAGTTCTTATCAATTTATATAGTAGAGAGTTGTTTGTTTAATAGATTTTACAAATAGGCACATCACCTTCTATGATGTATGTCCAGAAATAATTATTAGAAAAATGAACTATTTTAATACATTATAAATATTTTCTTGAAAATTATGGTGTTACTGATGACTGACCTTTCAATGATAATCTATACTATTTTCCATGCGGCTCCCAAAAATAATGTTTGGCTTCAACAACAATAATATTAAATTTTTAGAGGTCATTAATATGAGTCTTTTTTCTCCATTATATCCTATTAAGAGTTAAATTCTCATTTAAATTTGATGCACATTTCATAATCTTTTGTATTCTTGTCTCATTCATGCAATTTTCAAGATATAGATTATTCAACTTTTTTTTTTCGGTAGTTCTTTCTCAATAAAAATATGTTAGTTTTTCTAATGCTGTCTTCTTCAAGAACTTTTAGTAAGCAAAATAAGTAGTATTAATAGAAATGGAAAATAGGAAATAAGGCCACTACAGATATATGTTGGAAGTTTGAGTTCAGAGTCAGAATTCTCTGCATGAATGTCATCCTCATCTTTAATAAATGTGGTTGCAAAAGTTAATTGGCTCTAATCTTAATTCTGTTGAGGTCCAATATGACCACATAAAAAGAAAATGAGATAATAAGTTTAATCTTCTTTTTTTTTTGCACACCATTAGTTTGAATTGGCAGTGACATTAGATGTTTCTTGGATTTGTTAAGGAGATGCAGGAGATAATGGGATAAATGAGTCAAGTTGAGCTCAAGTTAGGATAATTCGAGCTTTGCTTTCCTACACAATGTTAGGCTCAATTAGAGTTCAAGCTTGAGCTGTGCTCTAAAGAAATGCTTGAGCTTGACTTGACTAGAATAATAGTGGGTTCAAGTTTGAGCTCAACTTTGCAAAAATTTCATTACAGGATGGGAGCTCGGTGGAGATAGAATTGCCAGGAGTTTATGGAAAAAGATAGCGATGGAGACTAGTGGTGTTAGAAGAGGTTACAATGAGAGCTTATTAGAGAAAGCAATAATGTGCAACAATTTTAGGAGAAGTCATAATGAGAGCTCACAAGAGAAGGCAACAATGGGATTCATGATGTTAAGGAAGTTGCAACATGAGCTCACTGAAGGAGGCAACGAGACCAGTGACTTTTGAAGAAGACGACTGTTTTCCTAAATTGAACTATTGCAATTTTTTTTTAATCAAGTTAACACGCATAACAATATGTCAAGCTAGGCCAAGCTTGAGCTCAAGCTCATACATTATATGACCTATAATCTGAGCCCGAGCCTGAGCTCGTTGTTTGGTAACTCAACTCATGAACTTGTCAACAAGTTGAGTTTAAGCCGACTTAACTCACATGCCCACCCCTAAATGGTGGACGAACAACTTTAAGAGTGAAGTTATCCTCAAGAGAAATATTGAGGGCAATAACAGCCAACCCATTGCCAACAATGACTATATGTTAATTGAATTAGGTCATATGTTGAAGTTGAAAATCTGTTTGAGGACAATGGATGAGAAAGTTTGGATCATCATGGGTATTGAGTTCATCATCTTTGTGACTAATTGACTAATTAGCAGTTAATAAGGATGAGGGTGAATTTGCCTAGTGTTGTTGAGTTGAACTTGGGGAATAGCAACTATTTGTAGTGAGGAAAAGTCCTCATAAATAGTATTATTTGGTTGATGATGAGAGCGCTCATTCGAATATTTTCTACGAACATAAATATCAGGCCCAATAAATTGATATTGAGAGTGGCAGCTAAGCAGCTCATCTTGGTCTATTGATTGGGAGCTTTAAGTATCAACCAGGACGTCTTGGGTTCGAGTCTTGCGTATGTGATGTGTGTGTGAGTTTGTCTAAATTGATTTAAAAGTTCAAATATGAGAGAGAGAGAGAGAGAGATCAAATTTCAGTACAACCCTAGCAATCAATGGCCTTGTTGCCAAGTCAATTGGTGATCTCACTCACAGAAGACCGAAGAGATACTTCAAATTAATACAATGAATTTGGAAAAGCAACCCAAAGTGAGTAATGATGTTCAGTTGGTCTCCTTACTTTTTTGAATTGAAAACCAGAATTGTTATGACTCCAAATTCATTTATTTTGAAAATTCAACATTTCTTAGTTGTTAATCTTCCATGGTTTAAGAATGAGTTTCTAAATTCTAGAAGTTAATATCCTTAATCTTCCATGGTTTAAGAATGAGTTTCTAAATTCTAGAAGTTGATATCCTTAATAATTGACTAATCACTCTCATTAACTAATTAAAACAACTAAAACAATTAACCTTGCTGGGAAATGGTATCCGATGGATTCATAATATAAAATAATAAACCGTTTGGAAAATTATTCTTCAATAATTATGCTATCATAAAGTTAAGGTAAAATAACGATTTTTCCAGAAAGATTATGACTAATTAATACCATAATTTAATCAAACTTTGTTAGTGAAATCATTATCTTTGGTCATTTTCATTTTTCTTGAAGAAATATAATTATAGTTGATGTGACTAAAACTTGTAACTACAATTATCTTCAAAAATACAACTACAAAGTCATTTTTAAAATCCTCAAATAAGCTATAACACTAATATCATGGAGTGAGCTCTACAAATCATGATCAAAGAACTAGCTATAGGAGCCTTGATAGAGCTAGGTGACATGTTACCTCCATTGATTAATTAAGAACCATCTATTCTATAACCCCACACAATCACAAAGTTTCGGAGTGAGAAATCCGTCAGACATCCATTTGATTTATGATCGCATTAACAAAGGTTATAGGATTTTGAAATATGACTCATTTACATATGAAACGAGTTGAATTCGAGCTAGTTAGCTAACTAGCCAAAAACTAACCGTTTATAAATATTAATATTTTTTCTACAAATCATTATAGACTTACTAGTATGATGAAAGATGATAAAATTTCAAGTTTATCATTTTGTTTTGCTAGATGCCTTCTTGAGATGAGGAAGCAATCAATCAAGTGGTGGATAAAAGAATGAACCACCATAAGAAGATTTGGGAGTTGAAACTATTTTTTTTCCATGTGTTCTATAACTTTGAGAACTAAGTAGAGACAATTTGATTACTATTAGAGACTCATTCTCTTCAAATAATTTATTATATATTCCACGAACTTACACAGACCCTACAAATTTTATATAGAAACAAAACACACATTCTTTATTGTACCAACAATAAGGAAACAAAAACAATAACACACATACATAAAGAAGTTCACAAATCCAAAGGAAATCATACATCCACGCAAGAAACAAATCCATTTGATCTTTAATTACTAGTTGTTCATCCAGAACTTAGCTTGCAACAAATCCACCGTCTTCTTATCAAGCTGGAACGCCTTCGCCAAAATCTCATCTGAAATCGGTGGCTTCGATCCAAACACAGAATTTGCAATGGTGATCACCCCTGGATTCTGACTACTTAGCCCAGAAAGTGCCACAGCACTCTCATGACCAGCATTGAACTGGAAGTGAATAAGCCCCTGAGGGAAAACAAAAACATCACCTTTGTAAAGAACCTTAGCAAACAATTTATTATCAGGGTTCGAGGTGACGAAGCCAACAGAGAGAGTTCCCTCCAGCACAACCAAGATCTCTGTGGCTCTTGGATGAGTGTGAGGAGGGTTGAGGCCGTAAGGCGCAAAGTCTATGCGAGCTATGGAGATGCCAAGCGTATTCAGACCAGGGAGGTTTGTAACACTCACGGCTGTCACATTTACGCCGAGCTGGTTAGCTGTGTTTCTGGGGTGGTTGAGTCCGGGGAAGAAGAAGTCATTCTCAGTGACGAGGTTCGGATTCTTGCAGACGAAGCCATTCACAAAAACTGCAGAAGCAAACAACTTGTTTAACATTGGTATATGATAGAAGTAAATATGTTTACAGATGGCTAGATACCGTTAGATGTAATGTCTGCAACGCAGAAGTCTTGGAGCTGAGTAGGGTCTGTGGCCATTGCAAGCGAGGCAGCCATGGCAAGGAGGGCAAGGAGGAGGAAGTGAGAAGCCATGGATAGATATCTGAAGCTCTACTCGTTAGCTTTAATATAATAACAATTGGTTTATATGATTAAACTGTGATATATATGGCTGATGCCTGATGGGTAGTATATATAGAGTTCAAAACATTAGAAAATTCCATAGCTGCAAGGCAATGGAAGTTGAAACAGTCAAGCCTTCATGGTTCAAAAAGATCAAAAGTCTTTAGGAGCAGGTTGTATTTGCTTTTCTCTAATGGCTTCTTCTTTCATGGTTAACTGAAGAATCACCTGCTCCCCTTTCTAGGATATCTGAAAATGACACAAATAAACCGCCATATGATTCATTAGGATAAAGCATGCTTGATCTTACAAGAAAGCTCTAGTCAACAAAGCTATTCCTCATACTATTCCTTCAATACTATCATAGCTGCTCGGTATTTGCCTCCGAGTCTGAAGTTGTCCAAATCAACAAAGAAGTTGTCGAAGTTTCAAAGCCACTCATTAGAGACTTCATCAAAATTCATATTTTATTAAAACCCATCATGAATTCTCTATATAATTAGAAATCATGTGTGGGCTCCGAAAATTCACGCCCCGGCGTCCCGGTTGCTTTTCAGGGGAGTTTTTGCAGATTAAGTTCCGGGATAGATTTTGGGAAGGCATGGGTTTGTAGATAAGACAATGCCCAGAGATTTCGCCCTCATTTTGTGTGGATTTTAGATATGAGCTCCGGTTTCCTATAGGTGCAAGCCCCTATAATTACTTACCGCTCCTGACAATGAGAGAGAACTTTTGATTAAGGCTAGTCATCTATCAGGTACATAGAGATACGCGATATCTGGTGTATAGTAGCAGCACAAACTTAAGTATTGGAAGATTTGATATTTAAAATAGAAATTTAACCACCTTGCACTTAAAGCGGTTGGTGGGGGAATGGATGATGGACTCGATCAAGATCTCGTGGTTCCGTCATCCCAGACCATCATGGTCCCTGGTTTACTTAGTCAAAGGAGGTAGTCGACCCAACCTAAGAGAAGGATCCTTGTCGGCAGCCATGAGTTGCGTCGTCCAAGGGGACAAATTTGAATTCGCCTTAGCTAATAGAGGATTTTGAGCCCTATCGATTATATCATATTGATTCATAATTTCATATCTCAATGATTTAGTGCTATTTGGGAGTATACGGGCTCTGACCATGATCGTAATTTAGTGGTGCCATTTGTCGGCAAACCACACAATTCAAAGGGCCCCAATCATAACCATTTACCTACAATGCCATTTGACGGCAAAACTGCTGGTTAGAGGACACATGCCACGTCCTTGCTAGCAAGAGATTGTTTGAAAATGAATAATAGTGATAATCTCGATCAGACAATAGCTCTTTATGAGCTGAAGTACATTTTCAAATTTGTCTACCTCGAAAAACTGTTGCGGATGGTGGATGAGTTTTTGCTTTAATCATTTTGATAGTTCATTTCAAATTTTAAACATTTTGGAATCTTCATATTTTTTGGAGTTTTGAATTTCATGGGCATTTGGGTTGTATTTGAAGTGTTTGAAATTAACTCCTCCGGTTGAGATCTACGTTCAGCATTGCTATCATCAAAGTGATGAGTTATTTAGAAATTTCATCGATGGAAATAGAAATATAATAATAATAATTATTATTATTTTAAGCCATCCTTTGAGCTCCAATTGAGATCTTCCTTCATGTTTGCCTCCGAGTCTGAAGTTGGTCCAAATCGTTTGTCCAAGTTTTAAAGCCACTCATTGGAGACTTCATCAAAATTTTATTAGATCCCATCATGAATTCTCTATATAATTAGAAATTATATGCTACTAAATTAATTCATTTTATAACATTTGTTATGTAATTTAATTTAAATGCATCATTTTTATATAGCATTGTATATTAATTCAAACCTACAAATAGTAGGTAAGTCTAGAAGATCAACAAGTATCAATGAACTCTCTACTCTTATATTTATAATATTTGATGCTTCGAATGACAAAAAATGATTATGTAAGAATATCTTAATGAAATTTGTATTAGGATAGGCTTAAAATCCCTAATATTTGCATGGAGATTAGTGCTTCTATATGATCATAAATTGCACTCGTCTTAAAGCAATTTGAATACCTCGCAAATCAAAGTTGTGATCAGACATCCCAAATTAACTTAGGCTTTATTTGGAACAGTTTTCTTACTGTTTTTTGAAATAATTTTTTAGTTCAAATTTTGTATTGAAAATTTATTTTATAAAATAATAAAAAAAATTATCCCAAATAAAATTCTTACTAATTTATCACCTTAGAATGAGTCTATAAATTCTAGAAGTAGATTTGCTTCACTCTACTGACTAATTGTCTCTAACTACCAATAAATAATTAATATTTTTATCTTTGCTGGTAAAAGACATTTGGTGGATTCATAATATAAAATATTAATTTTGGAATTATCTTTCAAAAGCTTCTTAGTTATCTAGCTGTAAGTTTGAACATGTTTCTATGTTGATAGTTCTTCACATGCTCAACTCAAATTTTTAGACTTCTTTATGTTGTTTATAGTTCTCCCCATCATAGAAATTATTTTTGAATAATACCCATTATTTGGTTAATCATACTCAAAAATAGATATCATGAAATATTTTTAAATTTAATAATTTTAATATATTAATATAATATGTTGATCAATATTGTAATTTAACCAAAATTGAAAGATTTGCATAGCCGTTACTAGGAGTGTATACGAGTCGATCCATTAATAGGAGTGGAGTCGAGTCTTCTATCTGCCTAATTGAGCTAAATTTGTTTAATTCTTACTAAATTCGAACTCAGCTCTTTAAAAAATTTATTTATAAGTTCAAGCTCATTTGAAAAGCTCAAACTTAACTCATTAAACTCAATTTCTTAATTTGAAACTAAAATTTTATTTTTTTATTTTAATTTATAATTTTTATATATATAATATAATTATATATATATATATATATATGAGAAATAATCAAAACTATTTTGACTCTTTATTAAATATCAAAATAATCTCCATTTATATTAAAAAATTATTTTGATTATTCAAATCTTTAAAGATGAACAAAAATAATCTCCAAAATAATCTCATGGAATAATCTCACCATGAGACTATTTTAATTTCTTTTATAAGAGAGAGAGAGAGAAGTTGAATACCATTTATACGTGATGTATTTGTCCCTTCTTAGGAAGAGAGACTATTCTCCACCTAACAATTAGAAAGATAGCATCATGCAAATGGCAAATTATTATGTCCGGTGTCCGGATTCGTCCGGAAATCAATCCAAACGCACCACATCACCAAAATACATTAGGATCTAGAGTACTCAGGTGACGCGTCTGGATTGGGTGTCCAGATGTTCGGTCACCGAACGTAATAATTCTCCCATGCAAACAGAAATAACTTCAACAAATTATCTGTCACATAGCAAATCAAATATATTAAAAACAATGCTAAACCCTAAACAAAAATTGAGCTTCAAGCTAACTAATACTCCTCTTAGAATTGAAGTAAAGCTGATACAATGCATCAGTATCGACTCAAACAAAGCAACATATGATGCTACATATCAATTGCATATACACATAAACCAGGACAGTCCCAACAGCGTGTAAAATCAGCAAGCCAACTACAAGTACAAATGGATTAAAGAACTGAATACCTAAATCCTGAGAAAATTCGGATGAGCATTTTGCAGAGGTGCCATTTCAGGCTTCATTTTGGATGACTTTCTTTCTGCTTCTTAAAGCAACTTTTTAACATAAAAAATTTAATTTTTATACTAGAAAGCTGCTTTACGAAGCAGTAATAAAGCCGTCCCGAACAAAAACAGTCTGAAAACACTTCCATTGCTTTGTTGTGGCTTTGTATGTGGAATAGCTTCTATTTTTTGGCACGTTCAATGATTGTTGCTATGGAACATCACTGGATGTCATGAAACCGTCCAGTAACCCTGCACAAAGTTCATGATCCATAAAATAATGAAATCCTTTACAAGGAAGAGAATACTAGATAGGGTTGCCTTTGGTTACTAGAATTTGGAAAACATTCAAACAAACCCATTATGGGGTCGAAAAAAAGTTTTAAGAAATTTCTTAAAAATCAGGAATTCATTTTCATACGCATAGTAAGTGAAAACAAAATCGTAACTTCATAAAATATTTGTTTTCATCTACAAGGGACCAAATGAGCCGTTAAGGGAGATTATAAACTCTCTTAAAACTTCAAGTCTATTTATATATGCTTTAAGTAGTTTATATGGCACTATAACCACCGTATGATGCATAGAAGTGATTTTTTTTTTAGTTCACATCTACTTCTAACATAAAACTTAAAGATACTTTATATTTATGAAATAACATGAGGCATTGTCTTTAAATTAGAGTACAGATCTAAATATTAAGTTCGAATTGAATTATATTTAAATAATATTCATGAACCTTATTTCAAAATAAAGTCCAACATTATATGAATCATTAATTTTAAACTAAAGAGTTTAAACTTATTTGCTAAATTCTTAATGAGTTTCTCGTGTGTTAACCTTTACAAAAGAAATCATAATCTAACTTCATTTTTATTACTTTTCATCCATCCTCCTTGAAAAGCAAGAATATGACTTGGTAAGCAAACCATTCAGCTCAACATCAAGCATTATGCTCCATCCCGATTTAAAATGGGTTTTATATCATTAGGACAATGATGGATCGTTTGATTTGATTGGGAGGAAGTTTTATTTAGAGAAAACGGGTTGATTTGATTGGGATATGCATATATATTTAGGGTAAGAGGGTTGATTTGACTGAAAGGAAATTAGGAAGATTTATTTAGGGAAAGGAAAGTGGGTTGATTTAAATTTAAATTTGGGATGAAATTATTTAGGGAAAGATGACTGATATGAATTCAAATTTATGAGGTAATTAGGGGTGCAATAGAGTGATTTCAGGATTATATTTTGAGTTTGCTGAAATTAGAATTTCTTAAATTGTGAAGGCTCTAGCAGCCAGCTACGCATTTGGGAGAGCCGGATCTTCCTCTCCAATTAAAGATCCAACTATATCTTGCTATTTTCTTTATATATCTTGCAATAAAATAGTTTTAGTATGTTCTAATTCCTAATTTCTTATTGTCGTTCACTGATTTCGAGTAAATTGTATCAAGTTCCTATCAAATTGTTATCAAAGTGGTGTCCTAGGCTAAGATTAAGGCCTTTTGCTTTCCAATTTCTGCTACGTTTTTCCTTTCAAAGTATTGATTTCTGCTGTTTGAAGACCAGAATTAATTATTTTTGACAGTTTGGAGCCTTGATCCGGGTACCTATTGCTGGAAGAAAGGTAGAAATGTTGGAGGGGGAAATGGAACAATTAAAATATGAAATTTAATATTTCCAAACTCAATTTTCATATTTCAAAGGTCAAATTTCAACCGTCTATGAGAAAATCGATGGAAATTTTTCTATAGAGGAGATGTTGAAAAAGCAGCTCGAGGACCAACCCAAGACAGCGTTATCAGAGGCTAGAAAAGCCACTAGTACCTAAGAAAATGGGGAAAACTCTAATCCAATAAGAAAAAAGAAAGATCAGAATGTGGAGATTTTAGAGGGAGAAGAAAGATGCCTCACCTAGAGCCTATTCCTAGGGAAGAGTTAGGAAGAGGATATGGGGAGAGGTGTGAGAGGGTGGGACATAAACGAAAGGCTTGTTGAATTTGAGAAGAGGGGCAGAATTTGAAAGGACAGGGGCTGATTATGACCGAAGGGGAGCTGAATTTGAAAGAAGGGAGCTGAATTTGAAAGTAGAATGACTGATTATGATCCAAGGGGTGCTAATTTGAAAGAAAAATGTGAGATTTTGACGAAAGGTTTGGGCACGAGCATAGAAGAGATGATTGGGATACTTGGGGAGAATCACCCTCTTGGAAAATGGGAAATTATAGAAGAAACAAGTGGAACATAGGAGATCCCAGGGTGAGGAAACTGAAGATGCCTATTTTTTAGATGATGCACATGGGTGGATATAAAGGGTAGAAAGGTATTTTACTGTCAATAAGTTGACGGAGGAGAGACTAATAGCGGATGGGATGTGCTTGGAGGGGAAAGTGTTGGCATGGTACAAGGATGAATTATAATTATATGTGAAAGTGTCATTTCTCGTTCATCGTGCATCTCGATTTGCATGTCATCGCCTGGCACTGGTCAAATTTGAGTTTTTTATTCGTGCAAAAATCCATATTATATGAAAATTATTATTAATAATTCAATTTGCCCGTCATTATCAACAACATCAACTCACACCATCTCCTAGGAGGCTAATTCATATTGTTGAACTAATGTCGATGTCCGCTGATTTAGTCATCAACATTTGTTGACAAACACCATCGCTTATAAAAGTGATACACATTGTTGACGCAAATATTAATGTCCATCAACTTCATCGCTCGTTATCATCAACAACATTAATAAACATCATCGCCTATAAAAATAACACACGATGTGGAAAAACATTGAAGCCAATTGACTTCATCACCCACCATCATCAATAACGTCAATGCATGTCATCACCTAAAAGGCTAATGCATGTCTTCGACATCAGCGCCAATGCCTGCTAACTTCATTGTCAACCATCACCAATAATATCGTGACATGAATTACTTATAAGGTTGTTGATGCACACCGTCGACACAAAAGTCTACATCCACTAACTTTATCACCCGCTATCACCACCAACAGCAACTCATGATATCATCTACAAAGCTGATGCAAGCCTTCGATGTGAACTCTAACTAACAACATTAACAATAAGAATTACATTGGGCTTCTTAATTTATTGTTTCCTTTCCTCAAAGAAGAACGATCGAACATACCATAAATAATGTTGTCTTGAAGATAACTCAAATGCATTAAGACTCTTCGAACCTCCACCATGGAATCCGTTCTCTACTATTCATGTCTTCTATATCATATCAATATCTTTCCTTATTGTAAGGGCATCACTTGTAACTGATACGATACGCAAGTTGAATCATTTCATAAAGCCTTGTGGTTTTTTTCTTTCTAAATTTTTTGCATAAACAATATTGCCACTCCTAACATTCTTCCATCTATTTGCAAGTAGGATTTTCATACAAATCTAAAATATGAATATGTTTGTCTTTCCTATCATGTAATGGAGTAAGGAAATGCATACGGAAGTGAAAAGCAGCGACTCGTGCAAAATAACTCTGTTCCGCTCCGTCCAGCATCGTTAAATGAGAGAAATCAAGAGAGGAGCAAGGGGGATAGAACCTACAAGCAAGCTACTGAGGAGGAAAATGCTTGCGTGAGGGTTAGGGCTTGAGATTGACATCAACTAGGAAAAAAGGTAAAGTATTTTTTTTAGATTGTATGTTTAACTAATGTTAAGTGTATGATAGTGAGGCCTGCAATGCTTTATGGTGCCGAATGTTGGCCTTTAAAAGAGAAGCATAATACTAAGTTAAGTGTGGCAGAGATGAGGATGCTCAGGTGGATGAGTGGCTTTACCCTTAGAGATAGGATACGAAATGAGCATATATGTGAAAAGGTTGGAGTAGCTCCAGTAGAAGATAAGATTAGAGAAAGTCGCCTTAGATGGTTTGGTCACATAAAACGGCGGCCTTGCGATGACCCGGTTAGGAGAGTAGAGGTATTAGATTTGACTTATGTTAAGAAAGGTAGGGGTAGACCTAAAAAGACTTGGTTAGAAAATATTAGGAATGACCTTTCTTTATTAGATTTAAACGAGAATTTGACTTTTAATAGGACACAATGGAGACAAAGGATTCATGTAGCCGACCCCACGTAGTGGGATAAAGGCTTGATGTTGTTGTTGTTGTTGTTGTATGTTTAACTAATGTTGATTAAATTTTAAAATAAACTTAAGATCTTATCTAATGCCTAAATATTATTTATTAAATTATTAATTTATGAATTTCTTAAGAATGAAAATAGTAAATACTATTAAGAAAGTGTAATCTAAAATTTACTTTGCAAGTAATTTAGTTGAAAATTTTATTTGTTAATTATAATATATATGTATATATTTTGAGTATATGTATATACATGTAAAGAGACCATAATTAAATTCGTATATGATATTTTAAACTAGATAAGGAATAAATTAAATTTATATCACATTAAATTGTAAATTAGATTTAGACAAATAATGAATTTATGAGCTAAGCATAATTTGTATAGAAAGAAAAATAAGAGTATATTTTAATAAAATATAAATAAATTTAAATGTTAAGGATTAGCAGGCAATCCATAAATTAAATAATAATATTTTTTATATAAGTGTTAAATTTATCGACCTCGAAGTAAGGTGTAAGAATAAAACAGTGCAACACCTAAATTCAAGGTGAGTACTCATGTCTTTTTAATTACAGTAATAATTTTGTTCTCTCTCAAATTAAATGCATTGAAAGATAATAATACCTCTTTATTAACTCTTTATTGCAAGCTAGATCATGATTTGTCACTTATATACAATGATTGATCATGTTAAGTCAAATGAAAATTAATATGTTTTGTTTCAAATTATCATACAAAGTTATATTACACATTTGGATTCCACAACGTAGTGGGACAAAGGTTTGATGTTGTTGTTGTTATATCATACAAAGTTAATAAATATTATATGAATAATGACTAGATAAAATATGTTTGTATGTGCATGATTGACTGATGGAGCACACTCGCTTATGCTACTAGCTGGGGACGAAAGATACTCGTGCAAGTAAATGAAAAAGGTTATTGAAAAGGAAAAGAAAAAGAAATGGAAAATGAGTAATTTCATTGATATTATTTTAGACGGTGACTCTTATGATGGTTGTATTATTTACGAAAAAGAATAAATATATGATATATGTATAACATTGATGATCATGTTTAAAATAATTTAAATGGAATTAATTTATGTTTGGAATGAGCATACATATTATTTCAAAGTCCTTGTGTTCCTGTAATTTAGAAACATAATTTACTCATTGAATTCTTTTTAATATACTTTTATTTCTGATAACATTCACTTGTATTATTTGATTAACTTAAAATGAGTAGAAGAGAAGAGAATGCATATCGTAAGCGAGATACTTCGAGAGAAAGATATTTATATCTGTTAAATTCAGAGAATTGGAGAGGGAAAAGCTTTCATTTTATTATACAAAACTATCCCTATTAATAGGTCTATGCATGATATCTTAATAAAGAAACAAATCATTACAGAATCATGCATAATTGCCTTAATATAATCCTTCCTAAATCAGCCACCCAAATATGGAAGGAGATCGGCGTGATTCAGGTGAGCCTCCCACGAATTCCCATCCTGGCCGTTGGATACAGTGTCAAGAGATTCCGCCCAGAAGCATACACCCGCTCGGTCAAGACGCACGATCTCTCATCCCGTGCAGCCTCACAGTTTCTCATCCAGATGCAAGCTCATGCTTGGCTCCTCTAGGTTCCGCCCTTGCGCACACGAGAGGAGGCTACCACATTCTACAAGCTTCAGGGACGCACGTTCCCGCTTGGTTCCACCCCAAACACAAGGGCATAATTTTATGGTCGGACTCCTCTCTCATCCTGTTTGGATGCATGCGAGAGAGGTTCACAAGACGTTCGTCTCTCTTAATTGAATACAAAGGTCGTGGGGTTCTCGCTCGACTCCTCCAGACGAGACGCACGAGATGTTCGTCTTTCTCGATCGAACACAGAGACCGCAGTATGAAGCATTCTCCGTCCTCTCTGTTGAACGTAGTAGGAATGAACAAGTTGGGAACCCACTCCCTTTCCTTCCTGAAGGCAAGGGCCTTCCCTTCAAGAAGTCCACTAGTAAAAAAAAAACTCAGAATTCCGACCAAGGCAATGAAGGCTCAGATACCATGTTAACTTTAGAGAATTTGAGAGGGAAAAGCTTTCATTTTATTATACAAAACTCTCACATGCACCGATTGTAGGAATATATATTTCAGATAATGTTTAGATATGCAAACCAAAGGGTCCACCACTGCAAAGGGGTCCAACGTCATACCAAACTCCTCCAGTAAATACCACCAAAACAGCCAACAAATCCACTAAAACAGCCAACAAACTTTACCAACGGAACTAGAAGAAAGATACAGGTGGAGTGGAACTTGCGGAGAGACGAAGAGATTAGAAGCCCGAGAAGAAAGATTGGAAAGAGCCCGTAGGATTTCCGGAGGGGATGAGAAAGAAGACGGACAAAGCTCGCAAGCTTTTCCAATAACCCGCAAGTCAATAGCAATTTTGCTCACAATAATTCACCACCCAATTCATCTCCAAGCATCTCATATATATAGGCAATAGGGGAGAAACTTAACAGCCCAAAAACCCCTCAAATCCCATATAAAATAATAGAAATGAAAGGACAAAAGTCACCTTGCATGATATCCCAAGAGTCACGGCCATTTCCAAACAGAACAAGGCCACGGAACCAGCCAAATACAGAGCCAATGCCACGGTTTCAGCACAGAAAACCAGGAGTTTTTTGTTATAGAAATCCCAAACGGCACAACAATTCTCAAGGAGGAGGCCACGGTTTCAACAGTCAAGCACAGGAATCCAACAGGTAAGTATCGGGTTTTCAGCAACCAAACAGCCATCACTTTTAATGAGAGAAAGGGGACCACGGGACAGAGAAACCAAAGCAGCCGTGGGAGGAAAAACCAGCAGAAAACTGCAGCAGCCAAAGAGGCAACAAGAAGAGGAAAAGACAAGTTCCACACACCCAAAAGCTTGCACACTTCTCTAATTTCAGAGCTAAACATCAGCTCATAATGAGCTACACCTCCACTAGATATTAATGAGCTGGCACCACTAGAATTTCAACAGCTAAAGCTCAAACCGAAAACAGCCAAGGCCCTCTTGAAACCAAAAAACAACCCAAAGGACAAGGTGGACCCCAAAGCCAGAAAACTCAAGGTAAGCATAACCCAAACCTTTTCCTACCATGATCATTGGATTTACCACCATCGTTGGATAGCATAAAAATAAAACAAAAAATAGAAAATATAACTAATATTGTTCAAAACAAAAATAATGCAAAAATCTAAATACATCAAGCACTCTCCGTCCTCTCTGTTGAACGTAGTAGGAATGAACAAGTTGGGAACCCACTCCCTTTCCTTCCTGAAGGCAAGGGCCTTCCCTTCAAGAAGTCCACTAGTAAAAAAAAAACTCAGAATTCCGACCAAGGCAATGAAGGCTCAGATACCATGTTAACTTTAGAGAATTTGAGAGGGAAAAGCTTTCATTTTATTATACAAAACTATCCCTATTAATAGATCTATACATGATATCTTAATAAAGAAACAAATAATTACATAATCATGCATAATTTTGCTAATATAATCCTTCCTAAATCAGCCACCCAAATATGGAAGGAGATCGGTGTGATACAGGTCAGCCTCCCACAGATTCCTATCCTGGCCTTGGGATCAAGTGTCAAGGGACGACTAGGATTTAATAGAGATCGGCGTTATTTAGGTGAGCCTCCCACGAATTCCCATCCTAGCCGTTGGAACAAGTGTCAAGGGACGGTTGGGATTTTTAACAATATCATTTTTATTTTAAATGTTTCAAAGTTTTTAGAGGTTTTTTTATTGGTGATAGTTTTAGCAAATGAAAATTTACTCGTTTGACCATATATTCCCACATCATTAATTCGAACATCCGGAATTGATCATGACATATATATGTGTGTCCTTAACTGGTAGAATACCATTGAACTCCTACTGATTCAAATTAGATTATTGCATTCTTATTATTCTAATTATTTTATATTTTATTTCTAAACCCCAATGTTGCTAGAATTTTCTGAAAGCTTATCAGGAGCATGAATAACTTCATATTGTAAAGGATTCATTAAATTGTGAAATCTTATATTCCTAAATTCATTTTTCAATCGTTTCTTTGAATCCCAATGTGTATTGCTGTAAATAGATCCAATAAGCTAAAATCAATCATTTCCTTAGAACGGTTTTGATGAGAAGCATGTCATATCTCAGGCAAGAAAACTTTATGACATGACTGGAAAATAGGAGCATGGCATTATCGGAATATTGGGAATTGCATCAAAATACAAGCTAGCACATCGCACAAAAGCAAAAAGGAATGATTCCAGTCAAACAAAATCAAACTTAATATAAAGCTAATTTAATACTGACTTCATAATTCACTGATCAAAGTTACTTTTCTGTCCACAAGGTTCTTAATTTAAGAAAGAGAGAAATCATCAGTTGGAACTCGCTCACTCCCATACACTTTTGAAGCTTCAAAAGCACTGATTTGAATAGAAGCTTCATACGACAAAAATTTGGATAAGAATGGAAAATGTATTGAACATTAAAAATCCTACAAAACTTTGTTCAGATGAAATCTTAACAGATTGACAGCATGTCAAAGTATCACATCATGGATCAAAATAATGAAACTTTTCAAAAGAAAAAAGAAGCAATTTGCATACCTGTCATATAATAATTGTGCATCTCCAATGCGTCCAATAACTTTGTTCCGCACCTTTCTTACAAAAATCTTCTCAATAGAAAAATAGCAAAAAGTATAATTATTACATGGCAAGCAAACGCTAAGTGCAAAATAGGTAAAATCATAATAATGATCCTAAAAAGTTAAGTTAAATTAGCCTAAAAAGAAATACATATAACGATATGCTAAGTGTTTTCTTTCAGGTAAATCATTTACTAAAAAGATTAAAGATGATGACTGATTTTACTGAGCTTTCTTGGAGCTTTGATCAACGAGAGATGGACTCAATTTGGTGTAAGGAGATTCAATTGCAAAGTGAAGATACAAGGTATGTGTTCAGGGTTTTCCAGTATAAATTGATTGACTTTTACTCAAACCAAGGATTCAAGGATGATAAAAAAAGTTAAATTGATTGAATTATCTATAAGTATTCAAAATTATTTTTTTAATTATTACAAATAATTCTATATCATTTCATATTCATAAGTTATTTAGATTTATTCTATTTATTTACAGTTTTGCTAATTAAATATTAATATGTTATTTATTTTATTAACTATATAATTAGTGATTGTGTGCATAATTTATGCAACATTATGATTTTGATCACCCACATTTTTCATAAGTTTATGTGACCTTAATTTTTCTAATTCTATTAAATTGGCTTACCATCTATGTTGCATCGATACACCTATTTATGAAGACGTGCTGTATCCGATACACGGATACACGGACACGCCTCCGATACTCCACCGATACGTATTGGATACGCCAAAGACGTATCCAATTAAAATACTATTTAATTTCAAAAGGACACGCGTATCCGATACACGTGTCCGTTGAAAAACAAAAAGAAATCCGAAAAGAAAAAGATGTGTTGTATTTACTTCCGCAGCTGCGAGCAAAGTTCTCTCATTTCCGAGATGGAATTGAGTCTCTTGATGATATGAGAATATTAGAAATTACTACTCTTTCACTTGATGAGCCTGGATTAAAAGCTATGATATTTAATGAAGATGATATAGAAGTTCAAAGACAAACCACTGAAGAAGCTAATCATATCATTCCTTCTATTGAATAGTTGAAACTTTATGTGCTAGATAATTTATGTTTATGCTTTTGTTGTTGTACTAGACATTTAATGCTTACTTATATTTTGATATTATAAGCTACAAGGCTACAAATGATGTTGTTGTCATTTTTTTTTGTAATTTCAAATATTATGCTTTGATTGCTTTCTTATTTTTTATGTATGATTTATAAATTATGATGTCGTGTCCGCGTCGTACCCGTATCCTGAATTTTAAGAATTGACGTGTCCCGTATCCGTACCGTGTCGTATCTGTGTCACCGTATCCGTATCGGTGCAACATAGCTTACCATACTTATATTGTGCTAGTTATGATTAATTAACTAATTGTATTTTATTTTCTCAATTAAAAAATATTAGGTTAAATTTATATATACAAATAAACAGTTTTTAATTATGTCACATTTATTTTAGCAAACTTATCTGATCATAAATGTCAAATTTTAACCTTTAAATTTTCTAAATAAAGATTAATTACTAATTAATTATAATTATTTTTATAAAGAATTTTGTGCTTAATTTTTTATTTAATTAATTTTTTGAGTTTTCATACACAATTTCATATATCATATAATATATTTTGCATTTTAAATGATTAAGGTATGCAGAAATAAAATTTTCCACTTTTTATGAAACTGACAACTCTAGTTACTCAATAAGCCACAAAAAATGTCATAGTAAAGGAACCCTACCTACACTTCATTAGTCTAATAACAAGAACCATCAAGTTCCATGCCTGTCCAACTTGATAAGTTTAAGTAGTCCAAATGAAGAAGATCTACTCAATTAGTCGGAGGGTCAAGACAACATCAAAACAAGTCTACCGAGCACAAAGAGAAGACCAAAAGAACTTCTCTTCTTCAATAAGTTCAACAAACCATAATACACAAAACTGAAGAAGTTATCCAAAAGTGTGTACAAAATTTGAAGCTAAACTAAGGGAAAGTTATCATCAACAAGTCCACTAAAACAACATGCATACGATTGACAACTATTCTTCACCAATCTAATATAAGCCATGGGGACTAGGTAATTGGCATGCATCCTTCACTAAGTCCGCAAAAATAAAAAGCACAGGGCAAAAGTTGTGCTAATCTCCTGGCAAGACAATAAAGATAATTCAAGCCAATTTCTTAACCAAGTTTGTTAAAGCACAAAACTAAGATAGAAGGGATCTTTAAACTCTAAACCCATCAAAGAGACTCAACATGCTCCTGCTGAGCCAAAGGATTGTGATTTTAATGCCTAAATCTTAGAGTTGAACATACATCTCTACCTAAAACCCAACTAGTGAATCCCAACATAAGTTCCTCGAAGTACAATACAATTTCAATACAAAATGCTAAATATAGGAAGAGAATCTCACAAGTTTTACTAATAGGAAGTGGATAAAAATTTTAGAAAACTCTGGCTGAAAATTGATTTCAGCAAAACCAGCGAACATACAACAAGAAAAACTAGGAACATAAACACTCAAGACACATTTTATTGAAAGATTTATGAAGGAAATTGCAAGATACAAGTGGATCTTCAATTTGGAGAAGACGATCCGGCTCTCTCAAATCCCTAGCCACCAGCTAGAGCCCACTCAACCTAAGAACAATCTAAATTCAGCAAAACACTATATACACTAGCCCTAGGAAAATCACCTACTTTAAGAAAATAATAAACAACAAATATCCAAACAACCCTCCCCCAATTTTCTCCAAAATCTGTTCTATTTTCTTAATTATTTCCCTCACAAATCAGCACTCAAATCAACCCCCAAATATGTCCTCTTCAATTAGAAAATATTTCTAAATTAATCCCCTCCAAATCAGCCCCCAAATCAGCCCCTAAATATGCCCTATTCAATTAGGAAACATTTCATAATTAATCCCCTCCCAATCAATTGTAGATATCGTAATAAGCGTGAAATGTGGATTGATTTTTCTTCTCTTTTGATTATGTTAACCAAATGCCAAATGTAAACTCCAAAAATTTCAAGTTTTTGGTGAGAAAAGACGCTTTCTTAACATTTACATAACCTCAACAAAATTTGTTTCCAAAGACGACAAAAGGCTCAAGCTTGTAATGTTGAGATAACAAGAAGATACGATACAAGCTGAAATATGTTATTTTTTTGTGAAAAACATTATATGGCCTTTTTATACACTTAAAAGTTACTGTGTAAATTAAAACATAAAACAATCTAATAAATAAACGCATCATTAAAATTTAAAAGACCACAATATTTCTGTCAAATCAAGGGAAACTGTATCTTCCGGAGGATTTAAGTCAATCAAAACATGTTTATCATTGATGTGACTTGGCATGACTTGAATATCTCTAAATCAACATTTATTGGGGATTTTTTTACTTAGAAAATTCAAGAATCTCACTGAAAAGCGGAACATCTACCTGAACACCATCAACGGGTCCATTTTCATCTCGACGGCGATGAACAATAATGCCATTGTCACATTTGTTTATGAAATGCGCACTACCACTTATATCATACAAATTTGGCGGGTTGCCTCCCCAGTTTTGTAACTGTTAGAAAGAAAAAGAATGCAAATGAATAAAATGAAATAATTGAAGAGCTTGAAGACAATGGATATACTTGTCTTGGATGTGCGACAAACCACACATGGCATGCATGGTGCTGTGCAAAACGTTTGATTTTAGTAAGCATCTGACTGACATACTCCGTTTCTGTCCTGTTACCCAAATGCCACATTAAGAAAACATCAGAGCAGGGCTCGGGTGTACAGAAGCAATAAAAGACCAAGGTGAAGTGGGGAACTTCTGGCTTTCTGGATTAAAATCTCAGTAATTATCATAAAGCCATAAATCTAGCTATAGGGAAACTACAACAAATGTAAATAAGAGTAAGCGATCTAAATAATCCCTAAACTTTTTAAGTATGTCCATTTTGGCCTCCAACCGGTTTAAAAGTTCAATTTAATCCTTATCTCAATAAAGATGAACTAATTCAGTCAACTTTGACATTTCTTTTGACAGAAAAGAGTGAAGGAAAGCTTTTGTGAGAGAAATTTAATTTTTAGGATCAATCTCATTGATTTGAATAGATATTAAGTATCTCAATTGACCCTAAAAAAATCTAAAATGCCGCAATGGAAAACTTCTCTCCACTAATTTTCATCCAGAGAAATGACAGTTTAAAGTATAACCAAATTAGTTCAAATTTAACAAGTCAAAGGACTAAATTGAACATCTAAAAAGGTATAATAGTAAAATGGGCACATCAAGAAAGATAGGAGATCATTTTGATCATTTACTCATAGAAATAGTACAATTTCAGAGATTGCTTGCATTTGATACAGGGGAAAATAAACTTAATATCCAATGCTCAAAACATAAGCAAATAGAAAGGAGAGTAAATTAGATGGAAGTAGAATTCTCACTGATGAACAGGACGTTGGTGATCCAGTTCATTATATGGGTCAATAACAAGCCCACGTACCCCATATCTTAGAACTGCAGCTTTAGCCAATGTTAGAACCCAACTAACAGATGGAATAGCATCATCATCACAGCTGCTTCATAAAGCGAACAGATCAGCAAGAATAACCAAATGCAAGTATAAAAACGATGCGTGAGATATCCATCATGCCCCAGAAATCAACGAAATTAATATTTACTTCGTAATTTTTCAAGGCTGAAGGGCTGCAATAAGCATTACAAAAGGACTCACCGAATAAGGTGAAACGTATCACTAAGCCATTTTTTCCCTTCTTCTAACTCTTCAGGGCTCATTCGCTCAACAGATTCCCCATATCTATGCTTAAAGAGAAACCAATATAAAGAACTTCAGCATAGAAACTTTTGGCAGGTTAGACGAGTACAATATGTATGCTTTCGCACAAAACCTTACTGATGTGAAAAGCCAAAGCCAAGCAAATAGACTATAAGATTCGTGAAAGAATGAAAGTACAAACTACTAATTAATAGCAATCCTCATTAAACTACTAAGTAATAGCAATCCTCATTAAACTACTAAGTAATAGCAATCCTTCTTGCGTCAATGAGACAGCGGAATTATATATGGACAGGTAGAAGGACAAACTGCCAGCTAATGCATACAGAACCACACTGATCCTTGCCCATAGAGGTAGTTATTTGCAAGCAAAAAGCACCCATTGGCATATTGTGGGCTCCGAAAATTCATGCCCTGGCCTCCCCTGCTTTCAGAAGAGTTTTAACGAATTAAGTTCCAAGGTAAATTTTCAAAAGGCAAATTGGATTGTCATTAAGACACTACACAGAGATTTCGCCCACATTTTGCGAGGACTTCAGTGAGCTCAGGTTTTCTATAGGCGCAAGCCCCTATATAGTTAATTAACCATCCCAATAACGAGAGAGAATTTTCGATTAAGGCTAGTCATCAAATAGATACGTCACAGTATCTGATGTATAGTAGCAACATGGGCTTAGGAATTTGGGAGAATTAATATTTAAAATTAAAAATTTCACAATTTTACACTTAAAGCGAATTGTGAGGGAAGTGACGATGGGCCCGATCAAAATCTCATGGTTTCGTCGTCCCGAGTCATCATGGTCACTGGTCTACTTAGTCAGAGGAGGTAGTCATGAGTTGCTTCGTCCAAGGGTACCTTATAGACTTTGGGTGAATATTTGTCTAAGGGGATAAATCTGAATCCAACTCAGCTAACGAAGGACTTTATGCCCTATTGATTATATCATATTGATTCATATCTCACGAATTTGAAGCCATTGGGGAGCATATGGGTTATATGACCGTAACCGTAATATAGCGGAGTCATTGGACCAAGCCACTAAGTCAGAGAGTCGCACTCATAATCATTGACCACATGGGGTCATCTTGCCAAACCACAGGTTTTTTGCGGAGCCCTCTGGCCAAATCGTCGATTAGAAGACAAATGTCATGTCCTTACTGGTAAGGGCGTATTGAGAATGAATCCTAGTGATATTCTGGACCAGTCATGAGCTCTTTGTGAGCTAAAGTATTTTTCAAATTATCCACCTCGACAAACTATTGCGGAGGGTGAATGAGTTTTGATTAAGCAATTTGACAAATAATTTCAATTTTAAATATTTCATGTTTTGACATTTTTTAGAGTTTTGAGTTTTCATAGGCATTTGAAGGCGTAGAGCCCCCTCCGGTTGATATAAACATTCAACACGACCATCATCGGGGTATTCATGTGCACTTTTATCTAGTTGAACCTTGTCGACTCTGTCAGTTGCCGACAGATGATCGGGTTCATTGTGGGCTTCAAGCCTTTATTAGTGATATTTTCTTGTTATAGACCTTGAAGGTCTAATATGAACGTATAAAACAAATGTCTCGGTTGATATCATGACCATACCTTTGTTTGATAGCTCGAGCCATGTCGACTCATATCTGCTCGCATAGGAGAATCGAATTTGAACTTAGATTTATTGTTTGACCCGTGCAGCATCCTCAGACGTCACATATGTACAACACGCTCACTGGAGCTCATACGGGTGTATATTCTTATATGTATACATGTTAATATGCTTGTATGTATACATTCATATTTGCATATGCACATGTTGTAGTGCATGTGTGAGGGGCATGGGCATTTTAAAATATTTAGTGCTGATCAGCTATGCAAATGATCAATATTTGGATGTGCACAGCGCTCTATGTAGAAATCCGTAAATGACTTTTGTCCGCTTGTATGAATGTTGAGAATCTGGTGGTGTAACGCTACATCATAAGTTGTTTGTTGCTTTATGAAGATGGGTTGTTATTGAGAAACACATAGGACTTCACTTGAGAATTTGCAAACGCCTTCTATCTTCTTGTATGAGTGTTGCATATCCGATGGGGTGTTATTACACTATGGTTGGCCCATTGCTTTGTACATGTAGATTGTTGTGCACTAACTATTCTTCTACTATTGCTAGTAGATAACTTCATTCACCGCAGTTTTCTTGTACTCGCTCACATATAGCCTATTGTATGCACAACGAGTTTCCTATAGCAGCTCATAAGCATTTGCATTTGATGTAATCACTTTGCATTTTTCGTGTGGACAACACATTGGATGTATAACGGGTCTTCTACAGCAGCTTGTAGGAGCTTACATCTACTGCATATCTTTTGTCTCTGCTTGCAACGAATCAGCATATTTCCTTGATAATCACTCATCATTAACTACGAGGACGAATCGGCATCTACTATACACATTGTAGATTTTCGTCTTTACTTGCAAATGACACCTCGCATTAATATCTATATGTAAAGGAGATTCATCATATCCTCTGTCCTCACTTGCATGTAAATCAATATGCTCACTTGTAACTTGATGTTGGCTACCTGTTGGGCAACATTCGCCGACAATCTCTTCATGCTTGTCGGTTAGCAAGCTATTGTATTCGTTGCACATCCTCCATACTCTACCCATGAGTGTAATGTGTTTGCTACGACTATTCAGTTCTTTCATAAACATGAATAGCATTAGCATTGTATATCGATTACCACCATTCACAAATGAAATGCTCGTCAAAGATTTTGTATGTTTGTCTACGATCAAATTACACATCCCTTATGATTTTTATTGCTTGTAGGATTCAATGTGTTTGCTTGCATCTTGATGTTGAATATTTTGATTGAATTACATTCATCACATATTAAATTTCAATATTTGCAGGGAACTGAAGCTTTCATTTGTCAAAAACTATAGCTTTCATTTGTCAAATAGTTGATGTTGGTTGGAAGAACATTGCAACATTCAAGGATCTTTGTGGCGACTAGTAAATGGACTTTTGGATGTGTCATATGCTCGTAAGCTAGTTATCTTATTCATTACTTGTCTCCTTCATACATTCATGATAGCACATGGTCAAGGCGAGTTCTTGATTTTTGCTTATAGCATGTTAAATGCCTCACGCTTGTAACAGATTTGTTTTTGTTGCTTGCGATTAGGTCAACGCACTCATTGTAGGTTACCAATAAATACACCATTCATCACAATTATGTCTATTTATTTGTATGTTTGGTTGAGATAGATACTACAAGTTAACTATCATGATTCAAAAGTCCCATGTCGCGTCTTGTAGAAATCAAGTCATATTTCCCACAATCTCCTTATTTCTTGTAAGCACATTATGTTTGCAAGTTTCTCTTTCATTCATTCGTACTTAATTACTTGTTATTGTATGAATTATAGATTTATTTTATGCATTTATTCAAATCTAGGTTCCTGTGCATTTCGTTTGAGTTTCATATAATTTGTTTAGTTCAAGTTTGGTCCTCCCCCTTTTTTAATTGTCCAAATTCAAGTCCTTTATAGTTCATTTAGGTCCCCTGTTCAGTTCAAATTTCGGCAACCTCCAGACATCTCCCTGTTTAGGGAACATTCCAAGAGTCTAGGCCTTCCCACCACGAAAAGAAAGGCATGTATAATGGCGTGTATGATAGGTGTCGGGAGACACCACGACCATAGTCTTCAATCCCACCACACCAAGAAAGGCATATATGGGTCTTCCGGGGTACCTGTTTGAAATACGCAATTCTTTCCCCATAGGCAATAAGGCATCTACAGGTACTTAGAAGTTGTCTTCGTCATGCTAAGAAAAGCGTGTACACTACTCGTTTTGTTGTAAGCATCACACTGAATTTCCTCCCACCACACTAAGAAAACCATGTATAAGTGATTTTTTGGCTCGCTGCAAACATCGAAAACGGGATTTAAGTTCGGAATATTATATATTCGAGAGGCTCAATGCCAACGTCAACGATGATGTGCAAGATCCCTCACTTCTTTTATCATAATCTTTTATCATCCTCCTTTTTCTTAATTTCACCTTGCTCCCTCTCTCCCTATTTTGTTATTTTCTCTTTTTTTTTCTCTTTTTTTTCAACAGTAATAATAGGAATAATAATAGCCACCATCACTATTACTATCATTATCATAAATAACAATACTAATAATGATACTCTTGTTATTATTATCATTATAATAACTAACAATAACCACAAAGTTAATTACAAATAATAACATAAAATGGGGATTGCAAAGGTATCTAGGTTGACTTGGTCAACTAGGTGCCCAACCAAGTCAAGACTTGGTCAACTAGGTTGACCCAAGAGCTTAGTTTGGTCTCAACATAATTGAAATGATAAATGGAATTTGGTAGAGGTGGTCCCAAGGGTCATAATGGTATGACCATTTAGACCCTTAAGGGGCTGTTAGGTCAATCCTAGTTGACTTGGTCAACCAGGTTGACCTAGGGTCTGGGTTTGAGTTTAATGCACTCCTAATAATGTTTAGAATGCATTAGAGGAGGTTCCATGGTTTGATTTGACTGGGCTATATTGAAGTTTAAAGGAAACTTCAATTTTGCCCTTAAGGAAAATTTGGTCATTTTGACCCCTAGTCAACTGGGGATTCAAAGTGGGTCCACCAAAATGCAGATTAATGCTTAGCATATCATAATCAAAGGTCTGGACATGATCAAAGGCTTTGGAAGAGGCTCCAAGGTCAAATTCCACAAGGTAGAGGGTCTAGTCGCATAGGCCGTAAATATTTGAAAGTTTCATAGTCTTTAGATTTCAATTTAGTTTGTGGTTAGAGACCTCAGATTGAGCTTAAATTTGGAGGGTTAACCCTAGGGACATGTCTAATCAATATGCAATTGATAGATCATGATTTGAAGGTCATTTAACTGAGATTTAAAATATTTGAAAAATCACTGAAAAAAACTTTCAGGACAGCCTTTTAGCCTTGGATTTGATCTGGATTTTCGGATCTGATCTGGATTTTGGAGTTGATTGATTATATTTGAATTATCCAAACCTGTCATAATCATTTTTTTATTTTTTTTTTAACCAACCATAATCATTTAAAAGATTAATATTGATTGGATAGGGTTGAAGCTAGATTGGAGACTGGTTTGAAGGTTGGATTGAGGTTTGAATGGAAGTCTTGATTTTGAGCTGGATTGAATTCTGGATTTTGATTGAACTAAAGCTCTAGATGATTAACACTTGGATGAATATCAATCATCATATCAATAAGTGGAGGTTTAGAAAGGCCCTTATGGCCTCATATAAAAATGAGATCAATAAGAGTAAAATAGCACAACATACCACCTCACTCATAACAGTGTTGCTGAGCCAACGAAATCCTTCAAAAAAATATTGAGCAAAATATTTAGCGTTTTTAAGGTCATGCCAAAGGCAGTGTTAAATTGATCTACTCCCCTGTACTCTTCATTTGGCCAAGCATAAAATTAGCTGCTCTTTTTGGGTTTTTCTTTGCATGGAATAAAGATATGGTTAAATAATATTTTTTATGATAGCTGTTTTACAGGTTAAAGTCATCGAGCTTGACAGGAAATATGTACATTAGAACATTTTCAGAAGAAATCATAGAGAATAGAAGCTTATTGCTGTAAACATTGATCATGAACATGAACTAGCAAAAATTATTACCTAATATTGAAGAATGGCTTCTTAATATGCTTTTCCAAAAGCTTTCTAGCATGCTCCTGAACCTAAAGACCAGCAAAGATATACTTCTAATGAATGAAGAAACCAGTGAATTGCTTGATTGTAATAACAAATTCGTTTTATCTTACTTTGTTTTCCATAGAGCAAAGAGCAAAAGTCCAACCATAATTTTCATTGATATTGCACATCAAGGCGTCAATCCACTCACTCTTACCAGAATTAGGAACACCTGTTATGACAGTCAACTCTCCAGGAACAACCTGCCAAATATTAGTCAACAGTCATCTTCTAATAAAATAAAACTTTTACTATGGATAGCCTCCTTATCTTACCATCAACTACGAAACAAAGCTACTTCATATAACTTCAAAAACCATCTATGACATGTATAGGTAACAATTGTTAACCTTATGAGCCCAAAGTTTGATTGAGCTTAATTTTGATCATAACAAATTTATGATTGGAAATATTAATTATTTATCAAGTTTTAGGACTGAGACGTTTCAAGGATCGAGGTGACGAAATTGATCAAATTAGAAGAATATTGATTTAGCAAGCACAAGAAAAAGAGAATACACATTGAACACTCAAGTGAAGATCTAAGTGTATCGAGTAGTGTAGAATGTAATGTTGCTATAATTTTTATTTTCAATAATCTGTAATTGCAAAATGGTTCTACTTCACGGCCCATTAGGATGACCTTGCTTAGACATACGCATTTGAACATCGAGTTAGGACAATTCATATGATTAGCAAAGTTAACTGAACCATAATACCTAACCAAACCATTCTCTGTTAGATCGTACAAAAAGATACAAATCAAACAATACAGTTCAAATTTATATTTCATGTTACCAGGAGGCAAATAGTAGATCCTTTTAAACATTGAAATTTTGATTATCAAAAAGTAGAAGAACAAAAGAACAATAAGGGAAAAAACTTTTGCCTCCGGATTTTATTAAGTTTCTAAAATTAAGGCTGGATCCGCCCCTATTCAGAAGTAAGGAAATGTGCATGTTCCTATTCAATAAGATACTTTATTAAGGGAAAATGATTTTATCTTAACTACCAATCCAAAAAGAAGTAGGATCATAAAATAATGTCTAGTTCCCACCATATCCTATATTATAAAAAGGTTGAACTGATAAAATTTTCCATTAGAATTAGTGTTGCATCAAAAAACAAAAATAAAGTTATGAAGCATCAGAAGACTTACATTGTATAAATCATTCAATGCTCTCCATCCTGTTGAGACACCCATTTCAAACCCTTGATTACAATTATAATAATCATTGATCTCAGTGAAGAAATTGTTGAAGTTAAATAGACCCCTTATGGGAAACAATTCAGCTGTCTCTATAACTTCCTTCAGTGCATTTTTTCCCAAAATGCTCAGCACCTGCACAGAAAAAGACAGAAAAATGTTTCGTAAGATGCACAGCAATACAATATTTCTTTTTCAAAATCTGTTCACGCATACCCTCCGAAGTAACAAACGGATTAAGCCAATTATCTCAATCCTTGGCTTAGCAATATTCAGTACAAATCATAGAATTGAGCTTTTTTAAGTGTCTTAGTGGCAAGACACTTTTTCACGAGCTTCAATGGTCACAAGCAACTTTCTTCCACATTCAAAAGCATCAGGCAACGAGTTAACAAATAAGCTCAACATGTTCAAAAAAGCTGATAATTTAAGAACGAATTTAAATCTAGATTTTTCATCATTAAATCACTTTATCCAAGCTATTTGGGTCGGCATTATCAATCCTTATTTTTCACTCATTATGTAGTTTGTTTCATGACATACAAACCATATTTTGTACAAATGTTTTTGTATTTTGGCCTATGTTACCTTAATTTCTACTGCTATTCTTCATAATCCTTTAATGCTAATTTTTTTCACACATCTAATGGGTGTATTTTCTATCAATGGTGTATAAATGAATTAAAAATCCTAAAGCAATTTTATAAAAGTTACCTTTAAGGCTTCCATTATTCTCTTATTGCATAATATTTTTAAGGCACTTCTGAATAATAATCAGCTAACTTTAACTCTAGAAATTATAACCTCTTGTATATCCGCATTCCTCCATTCAATGGATTCGATATACTTAAAGATATCATTTGTCATCATATCATCATTAGTCTTTGTTAAATTCAGAGAATTGGAGAAAGAAAAGGCTTAATTTTATTGCTCAAACTTGTCCCTATTTATAAATCTATACAAGATATCTTAATAAAGAAATAAATAATTACAGAATCATACATAACTGCTCTAATATAATCCTTCCTAAATCAGCCACCTGAATATGGAAGGAGATCGGCACATTCCAAATGAGCCTCTCATGGATCTCAATCCTAGTTGTGGGATCAAAATGTCAAGGGACAGTGGAGATCAGCGCAATCCAAGTGAGCCTCCCATGGATCCCCTTCCTAGCCATGGGATCAAAAGACCAAGGTATAGCTAGGATTTTTAATAATTGGTATAGCTAGGATCAAAAGACCAAGGTATAACACTATTTTTAAAATATAAAAATTAAACTGTGTCCAACCCGTGTCCATGTCCAATATTTTCAATAATTGGCATGTCCTGTGTCCGTGTCGTGTCGCCGTGTCAGTGTCTGTGCATCATAGATTCTACTTCTACACTAGATCTTGCCACTAACTTCGCCGTGTCAGTGTCTTTTTGAAAGTAGGATGATATGATTTGATTAAAGTAATATTTAGCATTATCATAACGAAATTTTATTATTTTAGTTCTGAATTTAGGATAAAAAGAGGATAGAATATCTATTGGTGTTTTTAGTCTCAAGATGTTTGAAGGTACTCGATTTATGAGATATGTAACAGTTAGAATGGCTTCCCCCAATAGGATTTTGGTACATGTGGAATAAAAGTGCACGGGTGGAGGCTAAAAAATGATCATTTTTTCTTTCTGCAACCCCGTTTTGTTGTGGTGTTTAAATACAGGAAGACTCATGAATGATACCTTCTTTTTTAAAGTAGGATGATATGATTTGATTAAAGTAATATTTAGCATTATCATAACGAAATTTTTTTTATTTTTACCCCAAATTAGTTCTGAATCATGATATGAAAAATGGGAAGGATAGTGCTAACATAAGATTTATTTTTGAAGAGAAAAATATAAGAGACTCGAGTGCAGTAATTAATGAATGATACAAACCATCAGGCCCCTAAGATGTTAGGGAATTTTTAGGGTCCCCATATATTACTATGAATATGATAAAGTGGAGTAATACATCTCTCATGTTTGTTTGGAAAAGAAACTCGTTTATATTTGAATAACTCACAGGTTTCATAATAAAAAGATTCATTTTTCAACTTATAAAAAAATTTAGGGTACATTTTTTAAGAAATTAAACGATAGATGTCCTAATCTAAAATGGTGAATCCAAATAGTAGATTTTTTATCAAATAGGGCTAACATAGAATAGTCATTATTGATAATATTAGATTTGTTCATCTCATCTAGGTAGTACAGTCCATCTCTCTCCTTAGTAAGTCCAATCTTCTTCCCCATCCATGGTCCTGAAATAAGCAACAAGTAGGGTAAAATATGACTTGACAATCCTAGCTGTTCTAAATAGCAGAGGTTTCAAAGAGCCAACTCCAAGCAGATAATGATGAAGAAGATTATAATAAATAATTCATTATTGCCGGAAGCAAGTGCACAGTGATCAATCTAGATCATTAATTTACAAATGCAAAAAAACTACTATGAATGTAGCTTACGAAACCAAGATTTATGATGCAGACAACATATTTAGTAAGAGGGCATCACCTCATTTGCATCCTTGCAAACCTCAGTACTACTTTTCATTGGCCACTTGACTCTCCAGCATCTAATCCAATTGAAAAAAAAAAAATTTATCAACTTTTTTGTACAACTAAAGAACTCTGCCTTCAGAAAGTACGACCATGTTCAAGCGTTGGGCCGTTGGCATGAACAAAAAGATAGTTCCTAAAGAAAACTACAATAAGTATGAGGATTAAAAAAACCTTTCTTTACCAAGACGTCGCGCTAGTTCTTCAGCTAGTGCTTGTCCAGGAGTGTCTCCATCAGTTGCTAATATTATGCGAGGTGCCTAGAATTGTAAAATATATTTAGTCAATAATTCAACTAAAGAAAGCAAGTTCTAGCTATAGGTCATTTGATTGAATTTTTCCAGCTATAAGTACCTTACTGAGATATTCCTTGCAGGTCCACAAGTATTGAAAACCTTTGTCCTGGCCATAAAAATACACATTGGAAAGTTAGTTCACAATTCATCTATGCAAGATGTACATACGTTTATTTAGAAGATACAAATTGCTGGAATTACCACAGAAAAAGAAATCAAAGCATGGACATATTTCGCTAGATTTGAAGCAAAAAATGTAATATCCAGATTTATCAAATAGCAATGATAGTATTTAACTGGTTTTAATTTTGATGATAACCATATTTGCTAATTTGTTAAACTACTCATCTATAAATGGGCATATTGTTAAACCATAAGATGTATCATGATGATTACCTAAGAATTAATGGAGAAATATGAAAACAGCCAAAGGTAGGGATAATTTTGTTGAAAATAATCCCAACACGTTTGATAGCAAAGAGGCACAACAAGTTTCGAAAGAATCTAGAATAGGAAGAGAACCAAAGTGGTGGAGAGAAGAAATAGTTTAAGAGGGTAGATGAATGAATACCTCAAAGGGTGAGAGGCAAGAAATGCGGATGAAGTAGCAAGGAGAAATTCTAGAAGGGGAGAATCTCCATAGGAAAGACTGCAAGAGGCACTTTCTACAATTCATCATCCCATAATCCTCAAAACAAAAATAGAGTCCATTATACAAACTCGGGACTCATAAAGCTTGCTAGGATAAATTAAGCCTGATACAAAAGGAAATATAATATCTTATTAGATAAAAGAAATCTGTTTAAACAAAATGAACATGTGTGATGCCTGCAAGTAATTAATTTGAATACAGATAAAGACCAACACAAAATAAACACATGACAAAAGAATTAAGGAACTCGCAATGCATCTCCATGATTTTCCATCTTCTTGATCTCCAGTTTCATTATATCATTTGTGATCTCTTAGCATGACCCATGCATTGCATTTAAATATTTATTTTGTGAATGACGAGGATGATACAAAAATGAATGATGGATGATTATATGAAATCTCTAAAATGGTCATTCCTGTCTTGAGAAGAAATGCTTTTTTTAATACATTTTTTTATTAGATAGTTGGAATGCATTAGAGTTGACTCCATCAAGGAGAGGGAGGGTTACTGAACTAGTGTAATGCGGAATTTCCCATTGAAATTTCCATTCTGACACACTGAGGCATGTTGAACAATTGAGTTATAAGAAAGTTTGACAATGCAATTACTGAAGTTGAGATTGGGGTCAATATTTGATAATATTTCCCTTCAAGTATTATTACCAGGCCATCAAACCTTATCGCATTGCACCCTAATAGGTGTGCTAAAAGGCAAACAAACCATTTAGTTCATAATCCAGTATGTTAAAAGTCATAATGTGTTTGGTTAAATAAGCATGAGCTCAAAAAAACAACCTAATAATCATAGAATCAGTCATAAGACTATTTAAAATTAAAAAATTCATTCGCAATTTACTACCCATATTCTACAATGATGGCCACTCGCCACTACCACCGTCTATCATTAATGTTGTCTTTGTTTTGTTAGTCCACTAGCATTTCACATCCAAGTAAACCATAATATTTTCATCTCTACAAGATAAAATGATTGTATGCTATATGGGCTTAAACGAGCCTTTAATTGATAATCTTGCAAACCCTTCATAAATTAAGTCTAGCATAGGCCTCTGATGGCATTGAATGACTTACAGAAATGGGTTTAAATAGGCACAGGTAACCCATTTGCAACCGCACTCCTGGTAGTTGCAAAGAAGAGTAGTGTTTCCATTGCAGCAAGTAGAAACAACACTCTAGAAGCGAGTGCACATTGTAATGCCACTACTTAGAAAGCTATTAAGCAATCCAAAGCTATGAGTACCCATGACAAACGCACCATTGATTGAAAACTTGATTCCCCAACCTCATAAATAAATTATAATATTATGAGGAAATCTTATGAATACGACGTCAACTCATGTGGCCTTATGATTATGCATACTTAACAATGATGACTAGATGATTCATTAAAAGTGCATGCTAGTATCATGAGATCTCTAGTTGAGCAAGTTATTCATACTTAGATTTAATACATATACCCATAAATCTTTCATATATAAAATTTAGTTATAGAGATAGAATGCAAGAAGCACATTTGTGAGCTTGTCCTTTCTTTTAATGATTGGAGGTAAGATAACTCCTAAGTTGTGGTTTGCTCGTCACTTTGTTATAACTATTTTTCTGAAGTATAAACATATTTTTGTTGAGTTTATTTTATTTGAATAAATATATCAAATTGCATAGCATGTAACTTGTAGTTTAGCTTTTATGCTGCAAGAGTTTCTTATAATTACTTATCTACATTCCAACATGGTGTTGTATATTCTACATTAGGACATAAAAAATGATCTACCAAATTACTTAAGAGAGATAAAACACATCTCGCATTAGTAGATAACCTTCATTTAAAACATAAATATTAGTTTCATGGATTCTATTAACCACACATAAACTGTCAAATAGTGGTTTTAGTTGGATTATATAAAAGGTGAAGTTCGCTCACAATAGCATACAAAATCTTGGCTATTTACTCTTACAGATAGCAAATAAGATGACGTTCAAATTCAAATATTTTACATTTGTATGTCTAAGCTATTTGAATCTTATAATACCTAGGCTCAAGTTAATTTTACAGCTTAGTTTTTATTAATGCTAGAAATGCAAATAGACCAAATTGCATTCATTCTGTCTTGGGCTTGAAGGATACAATAGAATGATAACAACCATAGGTATCATACCAAATGCTTGGGAGGATGGGTTGATACTGATGGGGACATCAGATCATCATGGAAGGTTTATCAGAGACGTGGCCGCCGATCTACGGCCACGATCGAGTCTTTATATTTTTGAGTCATTAATGTATTTTTTATTTTCATGTATTTTGTTATTTGCTTATGTGGTTTTATTATTTCCTGTTGTACCAGTCTTATGGGAGTTGTCGTATGTAAGCCCAAAGGGCATTTGTGTCTTTTTTGTTTTGAGTCATTTGTATGAGGCTATTTAAAGCCCTACTTTGTTCTATTTCAAGTTAATGAATGATGATCAAGATTTTTCCTGCACTTGTGTTTGAGAGTATTTGAGAGTTCTTGGAGAGCTTTCGGAGAGATCCCTTGGAGAGGGAGATCGGCGCATTACCCACCAACCTTGGATACGGCCGGGTTCATGGTTTTCTCTTTGTACTTTGTTTTCCTTTGTCACCTTCTCTCATTCATCTTCAATACGCTCAACTCCACCAAACTCCTCATCTTCCTCCCCACATCAAGCTCCACAAAAAAAAATCCTCACCCATAGTCGCCGGCCACCTCCACCCGACCCCACTTGATCACCGGCCCTAGCTCTTAGCCGCCGGCCCCCACCCCTTTGTTTCTCTTATCTTGTTTCCTAATTGGGTTGAGACTAATTGGAAATAATTGGAAATTCAAATTCAATCTAATTTGAATTCAAAATATTTCCTAAATTAGTTATTCTATTTTAGGAAAGTATTTGATTTAAATCTATTTTGAATTTAAAATTCAAGAGGATTTAAGTTAATTCCTTCCTAAATCAAAGACCTAAATTAGGAATCTCTAATTCCTCCTTTAATTAACTCCCTCATCCATGCATGCCGCCGGCCCCATAGCCCCACCCACTAATTCCCTCTCAATTTATTTCCTAACTCTCACACCATACTTAGGAAATAATTTGAAATCCCCTTAATTCCTCTGGACCGAAATTCCCCCTCACCTGGATTGGATTAATTTGTTGCCTAAGTGGTAATTTCACTTTTGGAAATAAAGTAATTCTTCCCTTTTCTCTTCTTTGTATTGCCGCCTCCTACACCCGTCTCCCTCTCTCACCCGCCCCCTCTTCTCTCTACCAAACCCCCTTTTTTTCTTTTATTCCTCACACAACTTCTAACCTTATTTCTTCCACTGTTTCCTCTATCTCCTAAGCACAAAAATTTGAGATTTCTCTCAGATTTTGAGAAGGAAATCTGAGATTGTTCCTTATCACAATTTGAAGAAAGCTTCGTATCTCATTGCCCGTGACCTTCTTCAAGAGTATTCGCTACCGTGGGAATTTCAACCATTAATCCCTATGAATGGCAGATCCGGAGACTGATTACGGCATCACTTGGGACGACGACGGCTTCACCGACATTCTTGGGTCCACCTTCTTCGACGTGAATCCGGAGATTGATCATACTGTCGAAGACTACGTGGATCGCATCTTGTTTGCTTTGACGGAGGCCATTAACGAACACTTCGAAGGCCTTGAGTGGAGGATCTCCACGTCTCCTTAACAAAGGTTTCTTCTTTCAATTGCATCTTATTTCTTTGAAATCTAAATTCTCATTGGTTTGGTGGTAATCGCGAAAGTCTCCTCCAAGTGCTCTTGCTAAGCTTAGTAATTCATAGGAATTGAGCGTGCTTTCTCTGCATCCTAAATCTCGTTGTTAGATTAGGGATTAACTTGAAAGCTACTATTCTGTATTGTTTTTATTTTCTTAATTATCTTGAGAGTTCAAAACTTGAAACATGTGATTTAGCCTACACAAGAGATCTCCTCATTTGTTTTATTCTTCGCTGAAAATTGCTCGTAATTTTATTCTGAAATTGTTCTAATCTAATAGTTGTGCAATGCCCAAATGAATCCATAAGCACTTCATCTAAGTAGTCCTGCATCAGATACATTTAGCCCTAATCTTACCTACATGTAGCCTTAATCTTACCTACACCTAGCCAAGACTTAAACATGAGACCTCCAACTAATACTAAAGGCTGCTCAACCACCACCACGCCTGCCCTCAATATGCTAACAACTACAGTGTTTGCTCAGCAAAAGATGGCGTTGCGGCATGAACCCCGATTTTGCAAGCCTAAGGTCCCATTTTCCCCCATGTAAATTAGAATTTTAATTAACCAGATTTCTCCTGATGATCGGCATTAGAGTTTATTTAGTTCTTACATCCACTTCCTATGACCACAAGCCCTCATATTTAATTACCCCTCCTAACGCGTAGAAGAGAACTCTCGATTAAGGATGAATCGATGTTTAGACGTGCAACAATTTTAAATTTTGGTTGTGGTGGATGGAGGTAAACCCGATCAAGATCTCATGGTTCCGTCATTCCGGGTATACCGTAGGTTTCAGTCTACCAACACTAGCAACCGTTGTTTGTAATGTCCAGAAAATCTGATTCACATTCATGGGTTACCTCTTCTTAGGGATCCCAAGTAAACTAAAATAAATCAATGTTGGATGTTTTAATTTAGGCTAGGACTTGCGGTTCCACTTAAGAGTTGCCCAAAGTTTAGATTTAGGTTAGGTCTTATGACCTTATTTAGGAGTTGCCTGTAATTTAGACTTAGAATAGGTATTACGATCCCGTTTAGGAGTTGCCCGTAAGTTTGAGAAGTTGGATCTTACTGTTTTCATTGAAAGTAGCTCATGCAACAGGTTTACGACCTCTATTAAAGGTTGCCAAGGTTATCAGGTATGTGTTATTTGTTTTGGAAATTTTTTTCTTATCACCCTGATTAAAGTAGGACTTACGACCACTATTATAGGTGGCCCAATATAAGGGATCGATGGCTTCATTTAGAAGTAGCCCATAGGTTTGGGTTTAGTGCTATTCACTTAGAAATTTCCCTAGCATGCAGGTCTTACAGCTTCGCTTAGAAGTGGCCCATAGGGTTTAGGATTAGATTACTTTTTTCCTAGAGATTTTCCCTAAAGTTGAACTTACGACTTCTATTAGAAGTTGTCAGTCGAACAAGTTAGCGGGGGATTTAGTAGCAGACATGTAATGTTGCATTTGAGTGGGTCATATTACTTCTACTAGAAGTAGCTCGTGTAAGAGGTCTTACGACCTCTATTAGAGGTAGCCAAATGTTTCAATTAGAAGCTTCCTTTAGTTTGTTTGGAATGGGGTTAATTACTCCCTTGGGAGGATTTATTGCTCCCCTTGGGAGGTTGTGTGTATTAATTTAATTGGGACTTACCCTGCTTTAGCTAGTAATTGCCTATTAGGTTGGCTTTAGAGTAGTTACATACCATACCATCCGACACTAGTGCCTTATATCCTAGCTTTCAATAGTTTATTTTGGTTTTTCTTGTATTAGTGTTGTAGCTTTCCTACTTTAGTAGCTTGTCTTTTGCTTTAGTACCGTTGTTTTAGCTTCCGAATTCAGTATCTTGTTCCAGCACTTTGTTTTGCCTATAGTCCTAGTTTTCTTTCAACACTAGTTTTACCTGTAGTAATGGTACCTTTACCTACTTGTTTGTTCAGTACCTATTTGTTTTAGTACAAGCTAGTTTTAGTATCTGCTTGTTTTAGTATCGTTTCTATTCTTTTCAGTACTAGTTTTATTTATCCTGTGCTGACTTTCGTCTACTTGTTTGCAGGTATTCGTAGCTAACAACAATTATAGGAGCTGGAGCTTGCACCTACAAGGTTTACGAAGAGATAGAGCTTGCCAGGAGCTAGAGAGGTTTAGTTTAGGATTTTAGAGCTTTTCTTTTTGTTTAATGTTTTCTTTAGTGTTTTGGTAGTTTAGATTTTAGTAGGTGTCAATTGTTTTAGGTTATTTAGTGTGATTATTGTTCTTTTATTATTTCAAAGCATTTACAATAATTAATAATTTTAATTAAATTAAATTATAGTTTAAATTTTAATTTAAAACCAATTGCTCGGCTCGTTAATTAATTTTAAATTTTAATTGTATTTTAAAATTATTAATTATTTAGATTAAATTGATTGCTTAATTAATTTAATTAATCAAAAGATTTAAATCTAATATTAAAGTTTTAATTTCATTTCTAAGATCATTAGTCAATTAATTAGATTTAATTAGAACATTTAAATTTGATTTCTTAAATTAATTTATTATTAAATTAGTTAAAAGATTTAACTTTAAATTAAATGGTTTAGTTAATTAGAGTTTTGATTGTATTTTAATTAGAAAATTAAATTAAGTTTTAAATTAAATATTCAATTAGATTTTGGATTAGGTTAGTTAATTTAATTAGTCAATTAATTAGAATATCAAGTTTATTTTAATTACTTTTATTTTAATTAAGTATTTATTAAATTGTAATTTGATTAAAATTCTTTGCTAGTCTTTCACTTCCGCCTCTCCACTCCATGCATTTCCGCCTCTCCACTCCCATGCATTTCTAGGTCGGACCAACCTTAATTAACCAATTAAATTTAGTTATAGAGTTTTAGGTTAATTAGTTAATTTGGTTAATTTAAATTGAAGTTTTAAATTAGAATTTTAATTGATTATTCAATTAAAATTGAATCAAAGCTCTCGGATTGCACGTTCGGTAATCTCCTGGCAAAATTTCGACAGCCTCCCGACATCCCCATTCCGCAAAGGGAGGTTGGGGAGGACAACCCTTTCAGATCCGTTCGGCCATATCAAATCAACGATCGAGGGCTTCGGAGGACAAATCAACTCAATATCGTTCTTCAAGTACTCAAATTTGTGCGACCTATTAACTAAGTGATTTAATTTAATTTAAAAAAATATATTTTTTTATCTCCTTCAAAATTCGACAATCTTTCGGCGTGATTGAATCAACAACCGAGGGGAGGTTGGGGAGGGCACTTTCCCTTTCAAGTTCGCTCAGCATGATTGAATCAACAACCGAGGGCTTCGGGGGAGCGAATTGACCCCGGTATCGATCTTCAAGCACCTATTCGGCATTTTTTAGACATTTCGGTACCATTTCAGCGTCCCCTCCCCACGAGGAGAGGTAGGGGATGGCACTTGCCCTTTGGGTCCACTCGGCCGAATCGAATCAATAACCTAGGGCTTCAGTGGACATATCAACCCCGGAATTAGTCTTCGATCTTCTCTAATTGAGCGATTGTGAGTTCCCTTCTTTTTTTTATTACGTGTGTGTATTAATTGTTGTATGTATTATTTATGTATACATATATTATTATTATTATTATTATTATTATTATATACACATACTCCCTCTCTTCCTTATTCACACTCACATTTCAAGCAACATAAATCTGATACATGGGTTGCTCGCACGAGACGAACGAATAGAGGCAACTGGTGCTTGGGCTCGAGTCGCAGACGGATGTGAAGCAAGGGTCGAGCAAGCCTAAGCTGCTGGTAGGTGCTTGGATGCGGAAGGTCGAGAAGTCGAACGGGCTTCGCCCGTGTGTGCGTGCAAGAGGTAAGGGCGACTCGAGTTCGAGCTCGAGCTAGCTCGAGCTCGGGTTTTGATAGTCGAGCTCGACTCGAACACCCTCTAGCTCGAGCTCGACTCGACTCGTTTGCACCCCTAAGCAAGCCTAAGCTGCTGGTAGGTGCTTGGATGCAGAAGGTCGAGAAGTCGAACGGGCTTCGCCTATGTGTGCGTGCAAGAGGTAAGGGACGATCGGTGTAGGGAGGAGGATAGCTGACTGAGGCAAAAGGAGGTGTGGTATGGGTCGATCGAACAGGTCATCCACGGGATCGAGGTCAAAAGCAGAGCCTGGCATCAAGGTGCGGTCATGTGAGCCGAAGGAGATGAAAGGGAGTTCTAATTAGGGTTGTATGCATGAGTCTAGGTTGGGAGAGAGAGACCCGGGGAGTTTTGGTAGTTCCTTCGTGCGTCTCCAGTCCTGAGCAAGAGAGAGCCGAGAGTTCGAATGCCTTCTTCATTCATATGAGGATGTTTTTGTTGTGAGCATGGCGGTTGTGTGATCGTGGGGTCATGTGTAGAGCGTCATGGATAGTGAGCAGTTGCGAGTGGGGCCATGGATTGATTAAAGGTCAACATACAGATATTTATTCCTCCTTTACTTTCAGAAACAAGAATTCTTATACCTCCTCTAGTCTTAAGCATCATTGAACTTCCCAAATCAAAGTATGGCATGTAAGATATAAAATCAAAATGATCAGATCATACTAGAATCAGACTCAAATTGCCTTATTACATAGGCGCTAGGCCTACCATGAATAGTGGGATTAGGTACTAAGGCAAGGTTGGCAGTAGACTCTGGAGTCAAAATGCACCAAGCCCAAAACAATACCAGCCTCACCACAACTAGCTAATGTCATCACACAAGCGGAAATTCACCAACATCAAACTAGCTTCCAGCCTTCCACAAAAGAAATCAAATTCCGAGAAATACATTTAAAATGCATTCCAGATTTCATGTTAGTTTACATTTAACCAATTTCCAAAATTTAGTACAAATGGTTCATATCCTACCAAACTCATCATGGCATAAATTATTCCATAATCCACGCTAGATTCACATTTAACAGGCATAGTTTAGAAGACATTCTTTATAAACAGCCAAATTTGATGTGCCTCCATTCATTCTATTCCTTCCTTTCTAAAGAATGGCTTGAGAAATGAATTTCCCAAAAGTATTATTAGTCCATTAATTCATTCATAACAGTTCCACTCGAAGATTCAGCCCTCACTTTCGCTTTAGAAACAAATGCCATCTGTGTCATTGAGAAAGATTAGTGAATTTGTCACCTTTTGGAGATTGGACCCACAATAAGAAGTATATTGCAGTTGTTTAGAAGTTGATTTTTTTTACCAAATAATTTAGTTCTTAGTTGCTCGGTAGTTCAACCATGAAACAAAGAAGAAAAAAATAAACCAAGAAGTTTTATAATGTAGTCAGCAGCAATTTAGCTTCACTTCAAAATCAAAGAAAAAATCCATACCTTATCTTCAGAGGGCATTTTCTCAGAAACTTTTGATATGGCGCCATTTGGAACACTTACACAGTTCCGGTAGCCAGCCTCTTCCATAGAAAGCTTATCTACTTCACCTTCAACCTCCAGTTCCAGATAAAATTATAAAATAGTTTAACATCACTGAGATGAAAAATAGAAGCACTGAAATAAACATGGAACAAACAGGCAAAGGATTGGCACGTTACAATAATGATATCACTTCCAGCTACTATATCATCAAGTCCATAAAATATTTTTTCAGTGTCTTTCTCCTAGCATGGAAAACAACATGAAAAAGTGGTCAGAATCTCAAAAAAAAAAAATCTATAGTTTTCTGCTTTAATAGTTAGGTAAAGAGATTAATTGAAATAGAATGATGCCCTCTCTTTAAAACTACATTAATAAAAAGAACAAGATTATAGATCTACCTGCCAAAACTTTTTCTCAATATTACGATACTTGCAGCTAACCAGTTTTCCAGTTCGTCTGTAAGTAAAAGCAATAACAATCTGCACGCAACAGGCAATATATAAATGTAACTCTTTTCAAAGATAGAAAAAGGTGAACAATATGGTGAAGCATCGAACCAGACCTCGTTACCAATTCTACGCTGCATGACAGCATTTCTTCGCAGGGTTTCAGCTGATATGCTTCTTCCATTGAAGTATGCAATAAGCTGAGATAATGCAAAAAGGTTATAAAATGTGATATCAAGTATTTGAAGAATAAATTAGCATGATAGTGGCATGTCCTACCTATAAGGGAGGGCATCAAGCAGAGTCATGGTCGGACCAAACTCTAAAAATCAAATGTTTTTATTTTAGCTCAAGCTAAGTTCTACTTGTGTCAAAAAAAAGTTAATTTTGTGTCATGTTTCAAGCTAAGCCTAATCATTTCTAAATATTTTCAAAATTCCTAATTAAGATTGTTATTATATTACTAAAATATTTTCTAAATTCCTAATTAAGATTGTTATTTTATTACTATTATTATTAGGATCCCATGGATTCACTGCAAGGAAAGAAATCAAGATTTCATGGACCATGCCTAAGGTGTAAAATATGATCTCACATATTAATGCAAGAAAGAAAATCCATAAGTAATTTAAAGTCAATATTTATTTTCATAGCTACAAACATTTCTTTATTTTATTCCTAAATAAGTTTCCATACGTAGTTTTAAAGTCAATATTTATTTTCATAGCTACAAACAATTCTTTAGTTATTCCTAAATAAGTCCATATATTATCTTCTATCAAATACCGTGAAATAAAAAAATTTCTATCATATTCTCATGTTCTCCGCATGGCATTAGAGCACTAGGCTCTTTTGGCCTTTATTGTCCTATGCATTCTCAGCCTTCATTCTTGCATCGTTTATTGCCTTCAATACCTAAAACAAAGACAATCAAGTCTTGTCGCTTGTCATCAACATCATCGATCTTCAAGCCAACAACAATCTTACAAAAAGTCTATGTTATATCAAATTTGTTCAAATGACAACACTCAAAATCTCATGCCAATAAAAGTATAGCACACGCATGTGGATCAGATGGTTAGCTTAATTATGATGACACCATTATATTATGGTTATAACCTAAGCCCAAATTTTTTGATAGTTGAGTTTACAATTTGTGAGCCATAATAGGCACTTAATATTGTTAACCCAAGCCAACTCAAACTTGGCCCCTCAATAAGCTCTTCTTACAAGTCTATAAGATCTAAACGGATGACACAACACATAATTGATGAAAAGGATCTTGTGATAAGGTCGAGTCGATTACCTCTACTAATTAAGCACAATAGCATCCATAACAATATCGGATACAACATGAGATCTTAATTGGGTTTATCGTCATTTACCCACCACCATTTATGAGACAATATATAGATGTCTTTATCTCTGCAATCTAAATTGTTGCTACTGAAACAAAACATTATAGAGTATATAGACTAGCATTAATTGAAAGTGCTCTTTCATGATTGAAAGAAATAATTATCATAGAGGCCTATGTCTAGGATAAGCCTTGAACCATTTCATAAAATTCTACCATTATTGGGAACTCTTTAAATATTGATCTATCTAAAAATCAATGTCTTCTAAAAAATCTACCATGAACCACGCAAGCATATTTAATAGAACATAAAGGGGCTATAAAAGTACGCTCTAGTACACTCTTAGAGATCTATTGTAGAACCTTTCACATTATTTAATCTAATCAAAAATCATACTTATCAAAATTGTTAAATTAGAAATAACTACATCTTTGTTAATCTTCAAATAAAAACATGCAAATAGGATCATATTTGAGACTAAACAGATTAACATATGCATAACTCCAATTCAACTAAATTTTGTATGTCTTGCTCAAATGCTTTATTGATTTTTATTTTCTTCTTTTCATCATCATAGCATATTTAGATTAATTCGAGCATTCTTTGATATCATCAGAATGTAGATTTGATACCCCTTAACTCCTAAAAATAGTTACATAAGTCTACATAATGCATAACCAATTTGCAAATGATTATGATCATTAAGGAAAAGCCAATCCTTTTCCTCATCAAAGTGTAAAAGAGCAAATTTGAGATTAATTTTCCTTGAGTTAGAGAAGATTTGTTACTAGATTTTTATAATTTGGTGTCAAAGTTATTTATACCTAGGTTTGAGACTTCCTATGGTACGTAAGCTCCCGTAGTTAATTATACGGGATCAAATTTAGGCTTGGGTTTGATAAATAGGTTTGAATATAACTAAAGGTGAATTGTTTGGATGATAGAAGTAGACAAGATCAAGACCTCATGGTTTCGTCTGCCTCTTCTAACTCAAACTATTCTATTTATCGATCTCTTCTTACCCAAATTCTAAATGGCCCAAAAAATAGATGTTCGTATCCAGCAAATTCTTGGAAAGACTATCCACATTAAAACTCCTTTCATAAAGACAAATCCCACCACATTAACACATAATGAATTCAACATGCACAAATTTGCATAAAATTCGTAAGTTAAGACCAAGAAAATAATATGCAACTGAATGGTAAAACCTATATATAAAGTATATCTTCTGATGATAAAGTTTGGAATAATACCTCCGGGCACAAAGGCTCTAAGTGAAGATCCTTTTCTGTGATTGTTTTATGTGTCTTTTCTTGGAAGGGCAGAGTAGAAACACCATTTTGATTGACACTAAAACCCACTCCACTCTCAGAAGCCTGAAAATATATACCATAGAAGTTTGCGTTCCCAAAAACAAAAAATAGGGCAGCATAATTGTTCTCTACTCTAGATCAATCTTCATAGCAGAATTACCTCAATACGGCCCCTCCAACCACATTGATCAACTCTGAAGCATGACCACATGGCAAGTTTTCTAAAACATCAAATAATTAGGTCAAATTTAAATGCCAGTCAGGAAGCAAGGAACAAGATACCTAGCAATACATAGGCAATAAAAGAGAAAACTAACCCATCTTCTCGAATAAAAAGAGAGAAACTTCTTTCTTTTGAATCTCCTCCGTCACACTAAACAAATCAACACCAACTGAAATTGGTTTAGAAAATACAAGACTGCAAAACAGCTTTTTTAACAGCATATCAACTACATACAAACGCCAGTCATTTCCCCACTAAATCATCAATTAATAATATAAAAATAGCAGAATAAAGGATACACAGAGAAAGCTAAGAAAACCAAATGTGGAGCATCAATAAATACCTGCGGGCATATAGCGTGCATATACTGTCCCGTTTTAAAGGGATAGCACTGAATTCCTATTTCAGCCAACTTCTCTTGCAGTTTTTCGAGTCTCTCAGCTCTAACCGCTTCACCTTCTCTTGGCTCCAGACGAACTTCAAGTAAACATTTACAGTAAACAAAAAGGGAATGCAGCGAGGCATATGTTACCCAACTCACTACACTTCTACAAAGAAGTCATATACGCAAAGAAGAAACAGACGGATAAAATACCTAATAAAGAGATAAAATAAGATAAAAGCATACCAGCTCCGGAGGATGAAAGAGGGGTATAAGAACGAAATCCGCGGGATTTTATAGAGAACGAAACAAGTCTTGCGGTGTTTCTTCTTGGGTTTGAAGAGAGGACGGGATAAGCGTGAAGATGGATTAGTCGGTAGTAGGAGGCGGTGGTGGTTATCGAGGCGCCGGATAAGAGCTCCAGAAGATGGCGAGAGCTGCACATCAGGAATATGGAGCGGAGATTTCTGTGAAATGGAGGGCTAGAAAGCGTGGGCATTGTGAGAAGAGGATTCAAACGCTCATGGCGGAAGAGAGCCACCAGGAAGCAGGCTTTCGCTGCAGTGGGAAGCTGGTGAAAACAACAAAACAGAAGAGAATAAAAAGGATTGGGTTTAAGAGAACGCAGCCAAACGCTTGGGTCAGTGGCGATTTTGTTGCGTTTAGGTGCGGCCACCCTTGCCGATTTCCCAACAAGGCTGGTATTTTATTTTTTTAATATATTCGAAAATTTATTTATAATCAAATTATTTTTCTATTGTATATATAAAATATTTATTAAAATGTAAATTTAATTAACTAATTTTGATTAGATTTGAACGTTCATTTAAATATGCCAATCTATTAAAAACCCTCTCCTCGCACAACAACTATTATGTCAGTAAATATTATATGAATTTTATCTCCTTACAAGTTGATGGTTCCGTTAGTGAGCCACATTAACCTCTCATTATGAAATTAAGCATGCAATCGGCTCCTATGTAAAAACCCCTTCTCATACAACAACGGTAAATTGAAAGCATGAGATAACTTTTTTTGTTGAGCGTAAAATGAAAGCATGAGATAACTTTTTTTGTTTGGTTCTAAGTAAATTGAGTGCAACATAAGTGTTGGTCGACGGGGGTGGGTGATGGTCTATGGCGACGATTGAGGTGGATGATGCGTGGTAGCTGGTGCTGGCCAAAGGTGACCAATGGTTGACGATTGGCTACAACGGTGGCGGCTGATGGCGACGGCAATGGTCGGTGGTGGCCGATGGTGGACTGTGGTGGCCGACAATGGTCAGTATGGGGGAGGGGATAAGCGGCCAATAGTTAGAGGCAACGGTGGTGTAGGCCAGGGGCGAAACTTGCCTTTCATTTTAGGGGGAAATTTTTTTAATATAAATATACTAGTATTTAAAAAAATAAAATAATGACATAATTTAAAGCAAAAACTTATATTTTATTACGATAAATAAATTAAAAAGTATTAAAAGCTTATTAATATGTATTGCATTTTTTGATAATGTTGTATTACAACTTCATTAAGAATCAAATCAAACACATTTTTCAATGTAAGATATTAGATAGTCGTTAAGCCAATCATCACATATTGGATGCCTGTATAACTATGTAAGCTCAATGAATTCTTGGCAGGTATAACTTGAGGATTATCATTAATAATAAGAACCTTCATATCATTAAATTATCCTTGCATATTGGATGCCTAATCATAACACTAACTGTGTATCCTATGTAAGCTCAAGAAATATTTGACATGTATAGCTTCAACTCCTGCTTCAAGTGTAATTGCATTAATTGACAAAATATGTTTGATACCAATAAATTTTTTAGTAACTTGCTATTTCTTATTCACATATCTCATAGCAACTATCAATTGCTCCTTTGTTGATACGTTATGACTCTCATCTACAAGAATGATGAAATAAGAATTGTCAATATCATTCATGATGGCAACCAACATTTCAGCAGCCACTACATAACAATTTTCTTTTTGAACTTATGGTGAAATCAACTTTAATTTTGCACTAACATTTTTAAAAGTAAATTTTTTTATTTCTTCATTGTGATTAGAAAGAAAATAAAATAACTCTAAATAATTACATTTATTATTTGAATTAGATGTCTCATCATGACCACGAAATGAAAAACGTTGTCTTAGAAGAACTTTAACACAATCAACAACTACATACAACAAGAGCCGATATTCTTTTTTGTTACTATCTTCCTTACTGAGACATCTCTGAATTAAAATCTTCACATTTATGCCTTGTTTTATTGTGAGCACTACTATATTCCCTAATATGGCTAATAATTTTTCCTTTCAATTTTTGAATAATTCGCCAACGAATGAATCAACATCACATTGACTTATATTTGTGTATTCTTGAAGTTTGAATAGATAGCAGCACTAACAAAATGCAGCATCTTTGTGTACACTATACTCCAACTATTTCAGATATTCCTCAAATAATTTAAAATAAAACCTCTTATCAACATTTCTTATTATTGTTTGGTGAAAATTATAATTTTTTTAGTATAAGTGTCACGACCCAACCCGACCGGAACGAATCCCTTCGCGTCGGGCCGCGACAAATGTTGAAAATCCATGATCTAGTTTTGGAATTTGCTTCAGACTTTCTTCCAACAACCCAACATACAGAAAACACAGAGCTACTATAAACATCCAAATATACAGAAATTCATCTATCATTTTCTTCTTCATTTCATCAAAATAATTATGTAAAATACAGTGTATGGCTACCGACAAAAAGAACAGAACAGAAAAGTCATGATTGTACAAAAATCAAAAGTACAAAATACCTAATCACTGATCAGACACAGAACCGCTAGTCCAAGACTTCCTTCCCTTCCCCAGAACCTGAAAATCAAGCAGAAAATAAGAATGAGCTAACAGCTCAGCAAGACTACAATCGCCCATCAAAATCTCCAGAAATTCACAACCAAAAATACATCAGAATAGTAGCCGTACAGAAATCAGATAATCATACAGAAATCGTAGAACAGACAATATATACTTGATCAAACAGAAATCAAACCACTGAACATAATATATAAGGACTGAATTCACCTTACATAACAAAATAATCAAGTCAATTTTTCTAGAACAAACAGAATCGTACAGAACAAACAGAAGCGTACAGAATAGATTTCAAATCAGATAAAATCACATTTCACACATCAGATATCAGATATTCCTGACCCAGACAGAATCTCAATAGATTTTGGCCCCTTATGCCTCCCTTCCTTGACACAGACATAATCTCAACGGATTATAGCCCCCTGTTGACCTCGATTTTGGCTCGATCATGCTCGAGCGCTTTCGATCAACCTAATTGAACACCGTCGAGCCCAATTCGAGCTCGAATCGACCCGACCCGAACCGGATCGGACTCGAACATGTTCGATTAGACTCGATTAATTGATTTTCATCGCGTCGTACCTAATTTCCTTTAAATCGATCATTATTTCGGATCCGATTTTGTACGATTAGTTTTGTTGAGCCGACCCGAGCCTGAATTAAGTTGAATCGGGTCGAATTTGGATTCGACCCAATTTTAGTCGAATTTGACCTGATTCAGCTCAAATTAATTCCACTAAATTCCTTTTTGACTTTCTAAAATAATTTGAATTTAATTTCTAGATCAAGAAAGTGATCCAACGGCCACGGTTCTTCAGCCTAAGCCTGTCGCTGCCAGACACCTCGATCGCAGAATCGATCTCATTTTGGAATGGCGTTCGGGGAGATGTCGAAGTAGGCAGAGCGAGCAGAGCTTCTTTTGTGCTTAAGGAAACCGGGAAATCATCCGAGGACAGCAGGCAACGGATTTTCCTCTTCTTTTCTTGGTTCGGCCTGCCCTGGACAGAGCATTGAGACCTTCTCGCTCACTCTCTCGATCAGGCTCTCTCGCCCAGCTCTCGCGAAAAAAAAACCTCCCCCTCTCTCGTTTCTTCTCCCCTGTTCGCACAAGCAAGAAAGTCCCGGATCCGCCTCCCTCTCTCTCGTGAGCCAAGGAAGGCCGAACCGCACGCCTTTCTCCTAGCCCGACCCCTTGCTCCCTGTCCAGTTCGCGAAATCCGATCGGGCTCATCCCGAAGCCGCTCCGTCTCCAGCTGTCCCGACGACCTGGGCTTCGTGCTTTGGCCGACTGACCCGAGCTCCTCCCCTTTGCAAGAGATTTAGGTGTAAATTCTAAAAGTGTGTAAAAGCCATTTTGATCCTTCTAGCAAGACATGCATATAAGGTGTTCGGTAGAATTCCCTTTAAAGAGTTCTTGTATGATTTTGTGAGTAACTCATGAAGCTTAAGATGTTATTTTGATCTTCTTTTAAGGTGCGTATATGAAGTACTTGTTTTAATGCTTAACATAAAGTGAGGCAAGTCTCATTTTGAATGTATCATGCAAATCTCATTTCGATATAATTTCCTAAAGTGAAGCAATGAGAACTCCTAGTTTCTTTTTGTGGTCGTTGAATGTTTCTTTTGTGTTCATACTCATATCTAAGTCTCAAATGTTATATAAGGATTTGGGCCATGTTCATGCTTAGAAAAGGCTAAGTTTCATTTTGACACTTAATGTTATGCATAGATTTGAAACAGCGGCCTTTACACTTTTAAGACCGATATCATGTTTAACTTAAAACCGGCTTTGTTTTGTCATGAGATATGGGATTGGTGTTATGGATGCAAAAGTGTTGTTTTCTTATCCTTCTTTGCCTAAGTTTTGTAGGTTAATTATTTGATAGATTGCCTCAAAAGAGTTTTTTTTTTTTTCTTGCGTTGAAGTTTTGTTTTAAGAAAGTTTGAATGATTGGGTTTATCTTGATTGTGATAAGTTCGAGGTGGTTCTTGTGATAGCAAGCTAAAATGGTGTTCTCTCGTTGAGCCCATAAAGAAAGAAAATGGGTGTTTACGGTGACTTTGGTTAATACTTATTTTGTCTTCTTGCTTTGGTTTATTTCAAGTCCATGCAAGATGGAGTTTTTGCTTTGAGATATAAATGTAACATTGCACTTCTTCCTTTAGATTTCAAATTATAATTTGATGTATTTGACTTCAAATCATCTAGAAGAGGAATGTTATTAGCAATGTTTTCTGTGGTTCAAAGATCATTTTGAGCACTTGGCCCATGAATGTTTTCTTCTTTTTTTTTAATGTCGAAAAGGCTTCAAAAGCATATCTATTATTGAAAATTATGTCATGTCGGAGAAGTCTCAAGAGTGGTTTCTTGTTGGAAGGTAGCTTATGAGCAAAAGTTTACATTTGGCAAAGTTTTTTTTAAAAGGAATATCTACATTCAAGAATATTTCCCTACATCATGTACGAGTAGATTTATGTGTTTATTGGATAAGTTATATGCTCAAAAGTTTAAATACTTATGCCGAGATCAACCCATGTGATACGAAAGATTTGATTAATTGTAATTGCTAAAGTTTTATCTCTTGTGATGTACATGCATGGTAGATCATGTTGAAGGTTGAAAAAGGAGCTTAGACAATGAGTTGGCATCTTCCGTAGAAATTGCATGAGTCATTTTCACACTCAAATTTTATTCTAAATGTCATTTATTGGTCAAGTTTATGAATTTGATTGTGTAGGCTTGATGGGTTGTCATGAGCCATAAACACAT